TTCTAGGAGTTGAAGTCCGCCTATAGCAATGCTGGCTGGGAAATTCTGGAAGTTAAAGTCTGCCTATAGCCATGATAGTGAACCTATGGTACACATGCCACAGGTGGTACGCAGAGCCATTTGTGCCGGCACATGAGCTGCAGGCAAACTTACCTCACTGCACATGCGCGCACCTCACAGCTGATTTTTGGCTGGTTTGAGGCCTTTTTTAGCCTCCCAAAGGCTTGAGGAAAGCTTCTGCAGCCTGAAAAATAGGCCCATTTTGTCACTTCCTGTATTTCCAGAAATACTGGAAGTGACAAAACGGGCCTATTTTTCGGGCTGCAGAGCCTTTCATGAAGCCTCTGGAGGCTGAAAAAAGGCCTCAAATGGGCCAAAAATCAACTGGGAGGCACAGTGCAGGCGAGGGGACGTGGGGTGGGGTAATTGCATGCACATGCACTGGGGCAGGGGTGCGCGTATTGCCTTCTGGGTGCTGACATGCAAGCGCGTGCACACAGTTTTTGGCACAGGAGCCAAAAAAGGTTAGCCACCATTGGCCTACAGCAGGAGTAGGGAAACTTGGCTCTTTTATCACTTATGGACTTCACTCCCAGAATTCCCAAGGGAGCCATAAAAGCTTCCCCATTCCTGGCCTACTGGTTTTTCAGTTGTGGGGGAAATCAATTTTTGACTTGAATGGGACTGTTTAATCTACAAATGTAATATACAAATGTAGGACATATATGTATAAATGTAGGACATAAATGTAGCACAAATATGTCCTACACTTGTATATTAAATAGTCCCATTCAAGTCAAAAAATGATTTCTCCCACAACTGCAAAACCAGTAGGCCAGGGATGGGGAACCTTTTATGGCTCCCTTGGGAATTCTGGGAGTTAAAGTCCATAAGTGATAAAAGAGCCAAGTTTCCCTACCCCTGGCCTATAGCAACTAGAGAATCACGCTGTGCACGTACCTCGCTGACCGCCTGGCTAAGGATCTGGATGATCTTCTCATGCGGCATGGCCACCACGCTCTGCCCGTTGATCTCAATGATGCGATGTCCCACGCGGACGCCACCACGTTCTGCAATCCCGCCACGCATGAGGCTACAGATCTGGGCCCAGGAAAAAGTCCACTCGTATGGCTAGCCCACACCCACCCATGGGCCAAGATTTTGCCCAGGCACAACCCCCAATTTCCAAAACCTCACCGTCAATCCGATACGGATTGTAATTTGTAATCTGTATTCCCTCTAAACAGGGAGCTTGGCTTAACTTGTTTCAGCCCCACCCAGACTACTCACGATGCCATTTTCCACAGAGAAACCCAGGGGATATTTTGTGCCAGGCCTTCGGACAATTGCTGTAGTGACAGGAGGGCAATGAACGATGCTGAGGGTTACTTCAGTCTGGTTTTTCAGATCCTGGGAAAAAAGAAACGTTTACGTTGACCTGAAATTAAGATCAATGCACTCCAACAACAGCAGTAACTTGTTTTATTGCTGGCCGAGGAATTCTGGGAGTTGAAGTCCAGACATCTTAAAGTGACCAACATTGAGAAATGCCGTGCTAAATGGTTCAGACTGACTGCAGAATATGGAGAATGTCTTTACAGCACATCTGTCAGGGCTCCAACAAATCTACCCCCATTCAAATCATAAGTCTCTAGCTGCATTTCTCAAGAGTAAAAAAAATTGATTTATTAGGAGTGGCCATGTTGGCGTTAGCTGGGTGCTGCCGACACTAAAATACATCATTCATTTCCCCCTTGACCATGGTCTTTCCCCCACCCCGTGGATGTATATTCTCCAATGGGATACATCCATAGCCAATAGTCATCAATCATGCTCTCCAATAATATTCTTGCCTGCCAACAGCTTTGGGCTGCCAAGGCGATTATCGAGGCATTTGAGGAATGCGCTGCTTTCCCCCACATTCTCTTTCTGCTGGCAACTAAAAAGACCAAAGGAGTATTTATTTATTTTTTAGTTGACAACATCATTTAGCAAAGGGCTCCCTAATCCCTGGGCTGCAGACCACTAACGTGGCCTATCTGGATCCGGGCCACGCAAGCATCAGGCTGGCGCGCGCACCCACATGCCCAGCTCCAATCGCATGAGGGGTGAGTCAGTGAGTATGTGCGTGCGCGCCAGCCCGCTGCTTGTGCAGCCCGGTTCTCCTCTATACCTGCCCAGCTGAGCCACCAAGGTGCCAAGAATGGGGACTGCTGATTTAGCAAAGCCAAAAATGACCATTTTGCTCTAAATCAAGGGTCTTCAAACATGGCATGTGGACTTCAACTCCCCAGAATTCGTCAGCCAGCTAAGCTTAAAGTTGCCAAGGTTGGAGACCCAAGTTCTAGTCCAGTAATGGCGAACTTTTTTGTTGTGGTGTGCCGAAAGCACGCGCATGCCACCACCCACAATGCAATGCGCCCCACCCCCTGCGCATGCGCACACACACGCCTTACCTGCACTGCACATGTGCATGCCTTCCAGCTGATATTAGGCCTGTTTGAGGCCATTTTTGCCCTCCTGGGGGCTTGAAGGAAGCCTTTGTAGACTTTGGAGGCCGAAAAACAGGCCCATTTCGGCACTTCTGGTTTCGGCTCTTCCGGTATTTCCGGAAGGCCCGATTTTCGGCCTCCAAAGGCTGCAGATGCTTCCCTTGAGCCCCCAGGTGGGTGAAAAAGGCCTCAAATGGGCCGAAAATCAGCTGAGAGGTGCATGCATGCACAGTGCAGTTAAGGCACTGTGGCTGGGGCTCACATGCCCGCACAAATGGCTCCGCACATAGGTTCGCCATCACAGTTCTAGCCCAAGGGTCTTCAGACATGGCAACTTTAAGACTTGTAGACTTCAACTCCCAGAATTCCTGAGTTAACATGACTGGAGGAGGAATCCTGGGAATTGAAGTACACAAGTCTTAAAGCTGTCCCTGCTATAAATCAAGAGGCCCCGTTCCCTCCTGCAAGTGTATGCTACTAGGAGCTGATGACGCCTCCATAACAGGCCTGAACATGAAGGGGGCAGAGTCAGAAAGTAGGTGGCGTGATGGAATGTATTCCAGATTCCCAGGGCTGCATTCCAGAAGAGCAAGAGGCAGCGAAGTTTAGATCGCTTGTGTGGGAGAAAGAGAATGAAGATGGCTCCTCCCGACTCGTTCTCAGGGTAAAGGTAGTCCTCAACTTATAACAATTCATTTAGTGACTGTTTAACAATGGCACTGAAAGAAGTGACTTAGAACTGTTTTTCACACTTACGACCGTGGTAGCATTCCCCATGGTCACATGATCAAAATTAGGACGCTTGGCAACTGGTTCCTATTTATGATGGCTGCAATGTCCCAGGGTCATGGGATCACCCTTGGCGACCTTCTGCCAAGAAAAGTCACTGGGGAAATCCAGATGCACTTAACAACTGGGTTACTAACTTATTGAGTGCAATGCTTCACTTAACAACCGTGGCAAGAAAGGTCGTAAAATAGGACAAAACCCACTTAACAACCATCTCGCTTATTTTATTTTTATTTATTAGATTGGTATTGCCGCCTATTCGCCATGATGACTCAATAGAATATTCTAGCAATAGAAATGTTGGGCTCAATTGTCGTTATAAGCTGAGGACTATCTGAGCTGTATCAATCATCTGAAATGGCAAATCCAGGTTGAGGCTGAAGACATAACTCTGGAGTAAACACTGATGCTAGGAAAGGTGGAAGCAAAGAAAAGAGGTTGACCAGCAATAAATGGATGGATTTAGCTATAGTAGTAGTGATAGGGAACTGTGTGGTGGCGGCCTCGGGGGTGGAGCTCTCGCCTCACAATCGGGAGGCTGTGAGTTCGATCCTAGGTAGCGGCAGCTATTCCTCTCTCTGGGCACAACAAGAAAATATCTGCTGTGGACTCATCTTAGGCGTCAGAAAGGGCATCCAGCCAGTAAATGCTCGGCTCCATTCCGTCCCTATGCAAGGGATTACAGGAGCATTTAAAGAAGGAGAAGAAAAGTTACAGTGGGGATGGGGCCTCTATTGGGCCTCTATTGGAAGGCCTAAAGGACCAAATGGGGCAGCTTGCCCTCGGAAGCTGTGGGAGCGCCATCCCTTGAGACTTGCAAGAAGAGATTGGACTGCCATTTGTCAGAAATGGTGTAGGGTCTCCCTCTTGGTCAAGGGGTTGGACTAGATGACTTATAAGCCCCCTTCCGACTCTGATTATCTGTTATCATCTGTTATCCTCCTGGAGAAGGAAACTGCATTTCATGACATTTTTCCTCAAAACCGACACTCACTTCCCATTTTTGGCAAAACCAGCCCATGATGAACCATTGGTTTGCTTAATGACCGTGGTTTTTGCTTAATAACTGCCACAAAAATCATAAGACCGGGCCAGTTACGTGTGTGACCTGCTTTGGATTGTCATGACTTATGAACCTAATGGAGCCTGGCCAGTCGTAAGTCAAGGACTACCCTTTACCTTGCTTCCACAAGGCCTGGAAGAGATCATCAACCGCGATCTTTGATCTCTTGGAAATTATACTCCACCCTTTGCCTTTCTAGCACGTATTCAGCCTGAGAGCAACAACGATTTTATCATCTGTTTTGCGTGCCGGACAAACAGGTCTGAGTTCAAAACAGCCCTAAGCAGGGCTGGGCCTAATTAATATGTATGGGTATGGGTAATATTTATTATGGCCAAGAGACCAAGAGAAAATCCTAGGGCTGGAGGCTAGACTCAGAAGTGAGAAAAGAATATTCTAGGGAAAAAAGGTGGAATGGCGGAGCATATCTATAGAGAGATGATTTGCCAGTCCTTTCTTCTAGGAATCGGAGTCTCCAAACCTGGCACCTTTAAGACTTGTGGGCTTCAATTCCCAGAATTCCCTGGGAGCTATGCTGGCTGGGGAATTCTGGGGGTTTTAGATTACGGATTAACAGAGTTGGAATGGACCTTATACCTCATAGCAGGCCCTACACCATTTCTTTTTTTTTATATATATAAATTTTATTGAATTTACAATTAAAAAATAACATAACAACATTACATATGCAACAGAGAGAGAAAAAGAAGAAAGAAAGAAGGGAAAGAGAAAGGAAAAGAAAAAAATAAAAAACGCTCGGTCTTGCGACCGAAAAAGGAGAAAAAGAAGTATAAAAGAGAGAAAAAAAAACAAAGAGACGGAAGAAAAAAGAAAATACGTTAAAACCAGACAGATATTCTTTTTGACAGTCTGCAAGATCCAATTCTCTAACAGAAATGTCTCTTCTTGAAAGTCTCAAGTGGGGACGCTCCCACAACTTCTGAAGGCAACTTCTGTTCCATGGGTTGATTGTTCTGTCAGAAAATTTATCCTTATTTCTAGGTTGAATCTTTCCTTGTTCAGTTTCTATCCATTATTCCTTGTCTGGCCTTAGGTGCTTTGGAAAATAGCTTGACCCCTTCCTCCTCTTTGTGACAGCCCCTCAACTATTGGAAGACTGCTATCATGTCTTCCTTCTCTTCAACCAGCTCCTGCAACTGTTCATCGCAGACCCCTCGTCTAGAGTAGTCTTGCCAGGAAAGCTAAATGAAGATGCTCACATGATTCCCCAGGGATTGAGAGAATACTAAAATCACACAATTGGAAGAGAATTTATAGGTCATCCAAATCAAACCCCCTGCTCTATGCCAGATGCTCATCTGACTAATGAGAATCCAGCCTTGAGTTGAAGACCTCTAGCTTGACCTGAGGGCTGCTTTCTCTTTTATTCTCAAGCAAAAAAAGTAATAAATAGAATTCATCGGAGCCTCGCTTTCTCACCCGTACGATGTTCTGGCACGAGACAAGGGGCAGCCCCACGAGGCTCGTTCCATTGATGGACATGATGCGGTCTCCAATGTTCAGCTTGCCGGATCGCTCGGCCGCTCCCCTGTGCATCAGGTTTGCAATGACCACAGTGGGGAGGATGGATCCCCAACCAGATTCTACAATCACCACGCCTAGAATCTCGCCCTTCTGCTTGGAGATGACGACCTGTATGGAGACACCAAATGGCAGAGGAGAGATCTATTGCACTGAAAGAGAGAGATCAAGTCAGGGGTTCTGACCAGTTCTGGAGAACCGGTAGCGGAAATTTTGAGTAGTTGGGAGAAACGGCGAATACCACCTCTGACTGGCCCTGCCCCCATCTATTTTCGGCCTCCCAAGTCCCAGCTGATTGGCTGGATCTTCTTTTGTTGCCCTGCACAGGAGAACAGAGCTGGAAAGCAGGTTAGTGGGATGGGGAGGGAATGGGATTTTGCAGTAACCTTGCCCCAGGAATGGGGAGGGAATGGAGATTTTACAGTATCCTTCCCCTGCCATGCCCTCCAAGCCACGCCCAGAGAACAGGTAGTAAAAAAATTTTAATCCCACCAGTACATCAAATGTTTCATCCTTTATGGTGCCCTGGGAATCTACAACTGCTACTGTCATCCAAATCAGTGTTTCTCAACTTTGGCTTCTTGAAGACGGGTGGACTTCAGCTCCCAGAATTCCTCAGTCCCTTTGGTGACTGTCGGATGTTATGACAAACGCTTCAAAAACTGCTTATCTGGTTTTGAAATTCCAACTTAGGCCTCTCTCTTCCCACAGCCACATGACCATATTTTAGAGCAAGAGTCTTCAAACTTGGCAAGTTTAAGATCTGTGGACTTCAACTCCCAGAATTCTGAGCTAACATGACTGGAAGACAGAATTCTGGGAGTTGAAGTCCACAAGTCTTAAAGCTGTCCAGTTTGAAGACCTCTGTTTTAGAGGCTCAGCAACCAGCCCACAGTTAGTTTTGTGAGAAACTAAGATTATTTCCAGTTTCCATCAAAAAAGGATCCATAACGAACAATAGGTTTGCTTAACAATTGTGGCATTTGCTTAACGATAACCACAAAAATGGTCATGAAAACAGGTCCAGTCACATGGTGATCCACTTTATAACTGTCACAATTTACAACCATCATTCCAGGCTTAATTATGGTTGTAAGTCAAGGATTATCTGTATGGCTGATGGAAGTTGGGAACAGACTTACGTACTTCCAAGTGTTATTATATACAGGTAGTCCTCGACTTACAACAGTGACTGTTCAAAGTTACAATGGCACTGAAAATAGTGTCTTATTACCATTTTTCACACTTACAACCACTGTAGCATCCCCATGGTCACATGATCAAAACTCAGATGCTTGGCAACTGGTTCATATTTATGACGGTTGCAGTGTCCTGTGGTCGTGTGACCAGCTTTTGCGACCTTCTGATAAGCAAAGTCAATGGGGAAGCCAGATTCACTTAACAACCATGTTACTAATAACAAATACAATGATTTACTTAACAACTCTGTCAAGAAAAGTCGTAAAATGGGGCAAAACTCACTTTACAAATATTTCACTTTGTAAGATAAATTTTGGGCTCAATTATGGTCATAATTTGAGGACCCCCTGTATCTGTCCAGAAAACGGAACAAGGAAGGGGATTCTTTTAATCTCCTGTGACTTTTTTTAAAAAAAGTCGCTAATAAGTAGATAAAAATGCCAAATCCAGTTTGGACATCTGGCTGACTGTGTCACAAACCTCAATATGAATAACTATAACACAACAACATTATGGGAAAATGGAGTTGAAAAATAGTCCAGAATGAACAGGTTAAAATATTGTGGGATTTCCAAATATAAACTGATAAGAGTGTTGGCACATAACACACAGGATTTAACGGTGGCTGAAAAGACAAAAGTGTGGAAAATTGATGTGGCAATATCAGGGGATAGTAGACTAAAAGACAAAGAATTGATGGAGATCGCAGTTTCAAGACCTGAAATTCAAAATTGAAAGATTATGGCATGAACCAGATATGGTGGTCCCAGTGATTATCGGTATACCGGGTGCCATATCAAAATAAATCCCAAAGGTGCTTTTTCAAAAGGCAACAGGACTTCCTTGGTTTTTGGGAGACAACTTTTGGCACAACCAAAAGGATGATTGTGAATCTCCACAGACACACCAAAAAATATTGGATGGCACTTAGAAAATCTGCACAATGACAATATTTTCATTGTCAATGGCAAAAGGCCAGATGGCTCGGATCTAAACACATATACTATGCCAATGCTTTACAACTTCCCAGGTTGTTGGGAAGAACTCAGTGCAAATAAAGATCAATGCTGTGACTGCACCTTGCTGAGTATATAATGATAATGTATTCCATATGCTGCCTGACCTCCTAGAGATTAAAGTGCGTGTGTGAAACCAGACCTCTTAAATGCACCCGAAGCTTAATAAAGTTATTTTAGCACATATTTGGTTTTTTTTAAAAAAAACAAAAAACAGGAAAATATCGTGCAACTGAAATACTTTGTGCAACTGGAAATCAGCAATTTGTCATATATTTCAGAAGCCCTGGGGACAGAGAGAACAAGGAATTGCAATCAACCACAATAGAGAAGGTGGGTTCCATGTTTTCCTTTGCTGCTCATGTTTTGGCCTGACAAACCACAGAGTATTTATTTCTGCTGCAGGTTGAGACAGAAGTTTTTTGTCCCAATGAGCCTTTCGGCCTCCCCTACCTCCCATTGAAAGAAAATATGTCTGTTGCTATTTAGCCTTCTTGCCTTTGTTTCACCCACTTTAGGAAATCATTGTTTTCTTTGAAAAAATAACTTGCTGAGAAGAAAAAAAAAACTGGGAAAAGCTTTGCTGTGTAAAGTTAAAAAAACAAACAAACAGGAGATGAATTGTTCTGAGGAGAATATTCTGTTTTTTTGTTTTTTTTTCAGGACAAGACTAATCAGTCTTGCCCAGGGAGATGGTCAGTTTTCTGGATATTACTCTTCCAGAACCACTTCCTATATTAAGAACATTTATTGCCAAAATACTGTCAAACCACTCCCTCTGGGGTTAAATTTCACGGTCTGGGGAAAAGATGGAACGTTCTGGAGAATCCTGACACGTTCTCACGCTGGACAAAATGGAGGCAGCCAATTGAACAACTTAAAGGATCTTCTACCGGCTATCAAGATCATTTGTTTCTTTATCCATTAATATTAATTGGAATATCTTATCATAAAATGTGACACAATACAAGAAGTCCTCCACTTACGAAAGTAATGGGGCCTGTCCATTATGCTTGTAGGTCATGGTGGTTTTAAAGGGGATCACCCACATGACTGGCCTGATTTTATGGCCTTTTTTAAAATGAGGGTTTTTCAGTGAACCAATTGTTTGCTATGAGCCACTTTTGCTGAAAACCGGAAGTAAATGCCAGCTTTTGGTAAAAAAAAAAACATCATAAAATGTGGCCATGTGATGCTGCTGCAAATAGCTGTAAATGTGGGATAGTTATCAAGCGCCCCAAATAGTCACATGGCTACATGGTGTGTATGTGTGCCCACTGATGACCGGTCGTATTTACAGATCTTTCCCAATCCAGTACATTTTATAAACTCTCTTGGGCAACTATAGTCCTTTCATGACCTGTGGACTTCAACTCCCAGAATTCCCGAGCCAGCATGGCTGGCTTGGGAATTCTGGGAGTTGAAGTCCACAGGTTATAAAGGGCCCATACTTGCCCAATGCATCCAGAGAGCCAACCAGGCCAAGACAAGATTAGTGAAGACTGAGTGGCCTGCCGAACCATTTAGAACCAATTCTAAGGCCCAACAGAGCGGAAGCATTTGAAATGGGTGGTAGCTATTTCCTTCTGTGGTGGTTAGGCATTTCTAATGCTCTCCACCTCTAGCAAAACAACCTCCTCTCCATTCTTACTTCCTTACAGTTCTCTTGCTTGGAGAAGTGAGCCAGGTCTCCGTTATAAAGCTCCTCTCCCTCGATCAGGCTGGGGTGATCCTTCTCATCATCATTCTGGTCTTGCATGGAGCCCAGCTGGCTGGGGTCAATGCCACTGGCCCGCAGGAAGTGCTGGTAAGCCACGCTAAAGACTTGCCCAATGGCTTGGGCTATCAGCTGAGCCTGTAGGGCAGAAAACAGCAAATGACAAGCATTTCCACAGTTACAGGACTAGCTTCTTTCCAAGCGTGCAGTTTACTTTAACACAGGGGTGTCAAATTCAAAGTCCGGGGGCTGGATCCGGCCGGCAGGGTGCTTAGATGTGGCCCATGGGGCCGGCCTGGAAATAGCAAAGGACCAACCCACAGTGCCTCTGCCAGCAAAAATGGACGTTGCGAAGGTCCACACGCAGCTTTTTCGAGCTCCGTTTTTGCTGGCAGAAGGTTGCAGGAGTTTGTCACAGCCGAAAACGGAGATTGCAAGGGCTGTGCATCCCACCCATTGCCCTGAGCTCTGTTTTCGCTGGCAGGAAGCCGTCACAGCTGAAAACAGAGCCCATTTTTGCTGGAACAGCATTCAGGCCACCACAGGCATCCCCGACACAAGGGACATCATGCTGACCACACCCACCCTGGACACACCTGAGGTCAAACACAACCCTGATGAGGCCCTCAATGAAACTGAGTTTGACACCCCTGCTCTTAACAAGACAAGATCTACTCTAATTGAGAGAGTGGGCGCACATCTGAACTCTGCTTGGCAGTGTTGTCCACCAAAATCTCCCCACACTCACGTCAGATGAGTGGAACACGTGGCAGATCATTTTGTACAGCTGCTTTTCGGTGGAAGCATCCGCCCGGCGAGGGAGCTTCCGACGGGCCATGAGCACCACGATGTTCCCAATGTCAGCAATGTAGGAGATGGTCTGGAGGGGGTGATCCATCATGGTTTCCTAAGGTGGCAAGGAGGCCAGAGAAGCAGAAAGGAAGAAATAGACCAGAAATGACAGGATGCCATTTCACAGAATACTCTCCAACTGTCTGTGAAATATTCTCAACTGTGTCCTCTGGAAGTGCTGAACTACAGCTCACATCATCCTCTGCCAGGCTGGCCTTCGTGCCTGTTGCAGGAGCCCCCAGTTTGTTCTATGGCTTGTTTCACAGAATGTACTGGCACAAAAAATTCTAGTGATGTGTCACTTTCCAGAACTCATACAAAAATCACATTGTTGTAAAATTGAGTTAAAATCTCTGTCTGTCTGTGTGTATATATATGTGTGTGTGCGCGCATGTGCGTGTATCTCCATACACATACAACAGAGTTAGACAATTATGGTGCCAATACATTTCCAGACACTGCTTGTGATTGATTTGATTTTAGAACAGGCAGTCCTTGATTTTTGGTGCTTGGCAACTGGCTTACATTTATACATTTGTAGTATCCTGAGGTCATGTAATTATGTTTGAGAATTTTTTTCAGCAAAAAACGCCCATTGGATAGGCTGGATTCAGACCTACAACCAGGTTTCACTTAACAGCCATGTGATTCGCTTAACAACCATGGCGACATACTTAATGACTGTCCTAAAAATGTCATAAAATCAAGTCTGGTCTCAACATACAACCTCAACAACTTAAAATCAAAATTCCAGGCTCAACTGTGATCATAAATTGAGGACTATCTGTACTGTAAAGATTGCAATTATTTTTAAAAAAATATTATACCCAAAAGAAAAGTGTAATTCTTTCCTGTCAGCCTGTCCCCAGTCGTTTTGTGAGAGGAACCCCCCCCCCACATCGGTAGCCATTTTGAGGACACACCACAACACAGTCTTAAAATTTCAATGGCCCACCCCACTAATTCTCAAAAAATGTGATATAGTTAAATGGAACACCCTGGTTATAGGGAGGAAGCAATGGCATAGTTTCATTTGTGGGTCTTCTGGATAAGGGACATTTTGTGAGTAGCCATCCCTCCCGCAACCCCAAGGCAGCCATTTTGGGCCTTGTCCACTGGACATGATCTCAAATGGAGGCAGCAGGCCGAATGCTTTTTGAGCGGGCAGCTGTAAATGCACCTGTGTATCGGCACTGAGGACCTTAATCCGCTGAGTGGAGACAAAGAGATCTACTTCGGTCATTGGCTGGGATTCTCCTTCAGGTGCCTGCATTGGAAAGAAAACATGTGAAGGAAGGAGGTCAGGATTGGAGAGATAATAGGTAATTGTGGCATGGAGTTTCCTTAAGACCCCAATAGATCTGGCCTAATTTAACCCAACATGGTTGACCAAAGACACAAAGCCCACATCAGGGTGGTGGAGCTCAACCACCCTGTTCACCACTTAACGCTCCACTAACTGCACTGAAAAGATAAGCTGCTCTTGAACATGGAGGTTCCATTTTGCTGCAATTGGAACAGAGCCCCCTTTTCTTCGATGCAACTGAGTATAAGTAGTCCTTGACTTACAACAGTTTAGTGACCGTTTGAAGTCACTTTTTCGACCTTCTGAGAAGCAAAGTCAGTGGGGAAGCCAGCTTCACTTAACAACCATGTGACTAACCCAACAGCTGCAGTGATTCCATAACTACTGTGGCAAGAAAGGTCGTAAAATGGGGTAAAACTCACACCTGTCTCACTTAGCAACAGAAATTTTGATCTCACTCGTGATTGTAAGTCAAGGACTACCTGTAGATGTAGCTATCAAGGTTTCCCTCTTGGTGTCTCATTCCTGCTGTTCCCACCTTAATCCTATCAACGGCTTCCTGGGCCTGAGCCATGCGGACGGTTGTAGATGGGTTTTTCTCAGAAGCCAGCTGTGTGGAGCCCAGATATTTGGCTCCAAAGATCACCCCTTCCAACAGATCTTCAGGCTCACAGGGACCTGGGACTGAGACACATAGAAAAGGCTTGTTTAATAACATTATTATTCTCAGTGTCATCACCATTCTCATCACCATAAGGTACCCTATGTAGCATATGTTAACAATATCCTACGAACAGTGGTGGGATTCAAATGTTTTTACTACCGGTCCTGTGGGCATGGGTTGGCGGGCGTGGCAGGGGAAGGATACTGTAAAATCTCCAGTCAGAGGTAGGATTTACCAGTTCTCCGAACTATTCAAAATTTTCGCTACTGGTTCTCCAGAATATGATCTCTGTGATCACATTAAGAGCAAGTGCGTTTTCTTCGCTGATGATGTAAAGCTATTCAACACCACAGAAACTGCTACCCTTCAAAAAGACCTCAACTATATATCAGAATGGTCAAACAAATGGCAACTTCAAATCTCAACAAATAAATGCTCTGTCCTACATATTGGCAAAAAACAAATCAGAAAATAAAATACAAGCTGAATAGTCAAGACCTTGTTGATAATTCAAACTCTGTCAAGAACCTTGGAGTACTCATCTCTAATGATCTAAGTGCTACAGCCCACTGTAACTACATAGCCAAAAAGGCATTTGAGTTGTTAACCTAATCTTACGTAGCGTTTTCTCTGGTAATATCACATTACTAACTAGAGCATACAAACATTTGCTAGACCGATACTCGAATACAGCTCATCAGTCTGGAACCCACATTATGTATCTGATATTAACACATTTGAGAAAGTCCAGAAATATTGCACAAGAAGAGTTCTCCACTCCTCTACTCATTGCAGAATACCTTATGCCACCAGACTTGAAACTCTAGACCTAGAAAACTAGAACTATGCCGACTTCGGTCCAATCTAAGTATAATATATAAAATCATACATTGCAATGTCCTTCCTGTCAATGAATACTTCAGCTTCAACCATAACAATACAAGAGCACACAATAGATACAAACTCAAGGTGAATGGCACCAAACTTGATTGCAGGAAATACGACTTCAGCAACAGAGTGGTCAATGTCTGGAATACTCTACCTGACTCTGTGGTTTCTTCCCCAAACCCCAAAAACTTTAACCTTAGACTGTCTATTCTTGACCTCACCCCTTTCCTAAGAGGTCTGTAGGGGGTGTGCATAAACGCACCAATGTACCTACCATCCCTGTTCTATTGTTTCTTTTTATTTTTCTTGTATGTATCCATTTCATGTATTCATAACTATGTTTACGCTTATACCTATTATCTTGTAAGCGATTGACAAATCAAATAAAAAAAGCCAAGGAGCTTCTGTGTCTAAGAAGGGACTAGAACTTGGGTCTCCATGCTGCTAGGACTCATTAGCTCTTGGACTGAGAGGGAGGAACTAACCCAAAGTTAACCAATGACTTCTGTAGCTGAAGAGGAACTAGAACCTGGGTCTCTGGCTGAGGAATTCTGGGAGTTGAAGTCCACAAGTCTTAAAGGTGCGAAGGTTGGAGACCCCTGCTCTAATCTACCTAATTCTCCAGTACATCTGATTGGCTGTTTGGGCTAAGAGGGAGGGAGGAAGGGGCTGGCCCAAAGTTCACATGACATAATAATCAATCAATCAAAATTCTTCACTTACCATCTTTATAAGGTGGGAAAGATGACACGTTGCCTTTATTCTGTTAAAGAAAGAGGAAAGGGGAAAAAAGAGTTGGCTTTGTAAAGCTGGGGAGATCTTAATTATTTATTTATGACATTTATTTGACCGCCTGAAATCTACTAGACTCTAGGCAGCTTATAACTTTACATAATAAAAACAGGATACAAAATCAGAATAAAATTACTTTACTAACCTCACAGGCTAAAAATTGAGAATTGCAGAAATCAATCCAATTAATCCCCTTCAAACTCTGGATGCCTAACGTTTTGTTTTAGAAATTTGACCTAAGCATATTTTACTGTAAAGCTAAATAATCTTTGATTCCTGGTGTCAGCATCCACGCTGTCTTCTTGATATTTCCCACTGCCCTTTTCTGATTTTTTTTTTTAAATTTCCCAATTTTTCTAGCCAAGAACACTGGAATTTTTTAGAGGATTCTCATGAAAGTATTAATCAGATCCAACCCTGCTTAGCATCTGGAATTGGCCAACGTTAGCTATGCAGTAATGATTTTATTGCAAGCACATTGTACTGATTTTGCACAACTGGTGCAAACTATATAATTTATGCTGTTGTGTCATGATGTCACAATGCACACCTGATATCATGAGTTTTTACCGTAAGGTGATCAATCTAGCCAGAAGGCAGCTTATTTTGGTCAGTACATTATGATGTTGAGATTCTAGAAAAAGTGCAGAGAAGAGCAACCAGGATGATTAGGGGATTGGAGACTAAAACATATGATGAACGGTTACAGGAACTGGGCATGGCTAGACTAGGGAAGAGAAGGACCAAGGATAGCATTTTCCAACATTTGAGGGGCCGCCACAGAGAGGAAGGGGTCAAGCTTTTTTCCAAGGCACCTGAAGGCCAGACAAGGAATAATGGATGGAAATTGATCAAGGAGAGATTCAGCCTGGAAATAAGGAGAAATTTTCTGACAGTGAGAACAATCAACCAATGGAACAGAAGTTGCCCTCAGAAGTTGTGGGAGCTTCATTACTGGAAACTTTGAGGAAGAGATTGGGCTGCCATCTGTCAGAAAGGGTGTAGGATCTCCTGCTTGGGCAGGGGGTTGGACTAGATAACCTATAAGGTCCCTTCCAACTCTGTTAATCTGTTACTAATCTACTAAACCTCTGGAGACAATCTCCCAGATTATTTGGTTTCTGGCAGGATACCCATGTAATGAATGCACAACGTTATTTAAAATGGTGCCTTTCAGCAATTGTGCATGATCCTTAAAGTAAGACAGCTAACAGCATAGATAAGAGATAGTAGGAAGACAAAGATGCCGCTAATACAGGCAGTCCTAGAGTTATGACCACAATTGAGCCCAAAAATTATGTTGCCAAGTGAAACATTTGTCAAGTGAGTTTGCCCCATTTTACGATTTTTCTCTGCTTCCTCTGCTATGGGTTGGACAAGGACAGAATGCAGGCCGGATGTGGCCCACAGACTGTAAAATGCCCACGTCTGATTTAATTCCTATTATTGTATAACTATTCAATCGACAGGATTCCCACAACAAAGAACAAACCAAGACAAAACCAAGGAAAACCACATTCATCATCATGAGCCGCGGTGGCGTAGTGATTAGAGTGCAGTACTGCAGGCTACATCTGCTGACTGCCGGCTGCCAGCCGTTTGGCAGTTCAAATCTCACCACGCTCAAGGTTGACTCAGTCTTCCGTCCTTCCCAGGTGGGTCAAATGATGACCCAGCTTATTGGGAGCAAAAGGCTGACTCTGTAAACCGCTTAGAGAGGACTGTATAGTAGTAACTATGAGAGGGATCTTGGAGTCTTAGTGAACAACCAACTATGAGCCAGCAGTGTGCAGCAGCAGCCAAAAAAGCTAATGCAATCCTAAATTGCATTAACAGAGGGATACAATTGAGATCAAGTATCTACTAATCTACTAATACCGCTCTATAAAGCCTTAGTAAGACCACACCTAGAGTACTGCATCCAGTTTTGGTCACTACATTATAAAAAAGATGTTGAAACTCTAGAAAAAGTGCTGAGAAGAGCAACCAGGATGATGAGTGGACTGGAGACTAAAACATATGAAGAACGGTTACAGGAACTGGGCCCGGCTAGTCTAGTGAAGAGAAGGACCAGGGGAGACATGAAAGCAGTCTTCCAATATTTGAGGGGCTGCCACAGAGAGGAAGGGGTCAAGCTATTTTCCAAGACATCCAAGGGCCAGACAAGGAATAATGGATGGAAACTGAACAAGGAGAGATTTAACCTGGAAATAAGGAGAAACTTCCGGACAGTGAGAACAATCAATGCATGGAACAGAAGTTGCCCTCGGAAGTTGTGGGAGTGCCGTCACTTGAGACTTTCAAGAAGAGATTGGACTGCCATTTGTCAAAAATGGTGTCAGGGTCTCCCGCTTGGGTGGGGGGGTTGGACAAGATGACCTATAAGATCCCTTCCAACTCTGATTATCTGTTAAAGCACTGTAAAGCGGTATATAAGGTATATAAGTGCTATTGCTATTCTAGTTTACAATGATTTCATAACCCCATCAATGCAAACCAAGTTTGGTTAAACAAGTGACAGCAGCGTTTGCGCATGGTGCTAAGCCATAAATCATGGCTTGCAACAACCCACAAGTCAATAAAGTCATCAAGGCCCCTTGACGACTTTCAGAGCAATGTGTGGACATTGTCCTGCAAGATACTCACCACTGGATCAGAGATGGGAGAGGAATCCTCCATGCGATTCAGGACAGGTCCCCCCACTGGATCTGGGGAGCCTTCCCAGCTGCGGGCCTCCAAGTTGGAGTCAGAAGAGGCAGCTGCTTCCAAGCTAGTGGATTCTTTTAGGAGCCTCGATCTGGGCCTACGTCGTCCTTTCCTTCTTCTCTCTTCCAGATCATCACAGGCAGGTTCAGAAGGGACTTTCTCTGGGGTTACAGCCCTTTCTTCAACTTCCATTTTCTGACATCCAGTCCTGATCATCACATCTGAGTGGGCCAGGGTTATCTGGTCATCTTCCTCCTCCTCCATGGAAATTCCCCCTTCGTAATGGAGGAGACTGAGCAGGTTCTCCTGGTGAGCTTCTGGGGAAAGCAATTCTCCACTTCTCTGTCCCTGGACAGATCTCAGGAGGTGCTGAGCGGCTGCCCGAAGGCCCTGCCCTGTGGCTACATGGAGTAGAGAAGGGGCACGTTTGTCCGGAGGTCCCTGGAGGTCCTCAGGATGCTCAAGGAGGGGCCGCCTGTCTCCATCTCCTAACCCGTGGCTTTCCTCGCCGTCAGAGGCAGCCAAGAGGTCATCTTCAGGAGTGGGCAACTTGTCATGGAAGCCAGGGTTAAGTCTCTGCAGTCGGGCAAAAAGCTTTAAGAACTCGGCCTGGTCAGCCTCTGGAATCTCCTCTTCCACATCCTTCTCCTCTAGTTCCTTCAGAATTTCACCCTGGTCAAGAGCGATCTTGAGGTTACTCTCTACCTCTGAGGAGACCTGGTCTGGTTTGGGTGTCCAGCATGTGTTCTCGTTCTGAGCTGAAGTTTTGGCTCCCTCCTCCATACCATTCCTGCTGAGGAAAACCAAACTTTTAACATTTCTCCAAGTCACAAGAGAGGCTGCCTGCCCCAAGAAGGGAAAGTCAATGCAAAATATATTCATATTCATAATATATTCATATATATAAATTGTGGGTGTTCATCACTGGAGGGTTTTAGGAAGAGACTGGACAGACACTTATTTGAAATGGTATAGGGCAGGGCTGTCAAACTCCCAGGCCACAGGCCAGATATGTCACGCGCTGGCCACGCCCTCACCTGGTTTAGAAAAGGGGGGAAAAGTCCTGATATGCCAACATGCCGACATGAGTTTGACACTCCTAGTATAGGGTCTCCTGCTAGAACAGGGGGCTGGACTAGAAGACCTCCAAGGTCCCTTCCAGCTATTCTATCTCATCGAGTCATAATTTGCTTTAACTATGCTGTATTGGACGAGCTACAGCGGCTGTTAAAGCAAAACTCTGAGCCTCAGTGAGCAATTTGAAGATTAACACGGGGAGCTCCTTCCCTTTGCTAGAAACGAAGAGAAATTGTTTCTCCCATTTTTGAAGCAAGAAATATACAAGACGCACGGTGAATCCATTTACGTTGCCCAATTGTCAACCTCCATGTACTAGAGGTGCGCATGTGTAGATGGATAGATGAATCTATCCATCTGTCATGCCCCTATTAGAATCTGACTCCGAGCGAGAGGAGGAACAGCCGACAGGGAGTGGGACTGTGGAGGAAACTAGGGAAGGGCACACGCCGGCTGGGCATTCAGAGGAAGACCCAGGCCCATCCCCTCTTCATCCTAGGACATGCAGGGAGGATCGGATAAGGGAGAAACGTGAATGGCGTGGTCTACGGGGGAGGAAAGGGCCTTGATCCCCTTCATGGGCTGCAGCTGTGAGGACTTTTAAAAAGGACAAACTGTGCATGGGCCAGTGCTGGAAGCAAAGTGTGAAAATATTTCTAGTCTTGTCAGTTCTTATCTGATTGGACCTTTAAAGCCAATTTGAAGGAATTAAATGGACTTCACCTGTTTTTGTGACTTTCTTGCTTCTGTATCCCACCCTGGGTCATCACACCATCCATCCACCCACCTGCCCATCTGTCTGTCTAACCCAGGGGTCCCCAACCCCTAGTCCACAGCCCGTTCACAACCGGGCTGTGGAAGTGGTGGGCAAGTGCACACATGCACATGCGATGCTGCATTTGTGAAAGCAGTGTGTGCCCACGAAATCATCTCGTTTCTCCTTCCCCCCACAACCCCACTGGTCCACTGAGCCAGAAAGATTGGAGACTGCTGATCTGTCCCATTTCTACAGGAATACACAAAAGGGAAGAGAGACTTTTTACCTGGAGATCTCAGGAGCCAAAGAAGTGGTATCTTGTGGTTCCGAGCATCTTTTGGACTCACCCTCCCCATCCAGGCCAATCCTGATCTCTTCTGCTTTGGGGTAGCAGGGCCCTGAATCCAGATTCGGAAGCTCCGGGAGAACCTGGTTGTCACCAGGAGAGGTGGGCAGTTGTTGGATAACGGAAGCATTTTCTCCAGAATCAACAGGAGCCTCAATCTCATTTTCCAAATCCGTGGGGAGAGGCACTACAGATTCCGAGAGGATCCCGCACCCCTCACTTGCATCTTTCTTAACATCCACGCCACCGTCCATTGTGATTGCTCCTCCAGGACGCGACAGCAATGACCCTACACTTGGAAACAAAATGGGTGTGTGTAATCTTGGACCTCAGGTAGAGGCAGGAGGAGTTTCGGCTTCCTTTTCTCACAAGACATCATTTTTGGGGGGGGAGGGGAAGCGTGAGAGGAAGAGAAATCATTCTTCTGAACACACGGTAGGGCAACTGTCAGGGTAGTTAAATACAGGGAGTCCTCGACTTATGACCACAATTGAGCCCAACATTTCTGTCGCTAAGTAAGTCAATTGTTAAGTGAGTTTTGCCTCATTTTATATGACCTTTTTTGCCACAGTTGTTAAGTGAGTCACTGCAGGTGTTAAAATTAGTAACGCAGTTGTTAAGTGAATGTGGCTTCCCCGTTGACTTCGCTTGTCAGAGGATTGCCAAAGGGGATCACATGACCGCCAGGAGGCTGCAACTGTCATAAGCAGAGGTGGTATTCAGCCAATTCTGACAGGTTCCAGAGAACCAGTAGTGGACATTTTGAGTAGTTGGGAGAACTGGCAAATCCCACCTCTGACTGGCCCCGCCCCCATCTCTTCTCTGCCACCCCAAGTCCCAGCTGATTGGCTGGGTCTTCTTTTGTTGCCCTGCACAGGAGAATGGAGCTGGAAAGCAGGTTAGTGGGGTGAGGAGGGAATGGGGATTTTGCAGTATCCTTCCCCTGCCACGTCCACCAAGCCACACCACACCCACCAAGCCATGCCCTCAGAACCGATAGTAAAAAAAAAAACTGAATACCACCATTGGTCATAAATATGAATCCGTTGCCAAGCATTTGACTTTTAATTTTGAATTTTGAAACCATCATAAACACACTTTGGTTGCCAAGCAACTGAATTTTGATTATGTGACCACAGGGATGCTGCTACGGAGATAAAATAAGGACCGGCGGTAAGGTTTTTTTTCTTTCGTGTCCCTATAACTTTATACAGTCACTAAACAAATGTTTGTAAGTCGAGGACTAACTGTATTAAAACGGCATTTGGCATTCTCCTTTCTCCAGGCAATGCTGCCCAAAACTTTCAGAAACCAGAGGAGTTGTGTGTGTTTTTAATATACAGCTTGTTCCTGAAAGCATTGGATGGCTTCAACAACGCTTAGTTCAGTCTGAGGAAGGACAACACGATCCACCATTTTTAGTAACAGGCAATCCATTTGTACGTACGAACTTGGGTTAAAGCCAAAGTTAGCAACCAGACTCCTCCTTAACCTGTAGCTTAAAGCTGCCATCTTAGCAGAAACTAAGTGCTTGCTCCTATTAACAATAGTGTAATCCGATTTTAAAAAAGATGAACTTGTTAACATTGCGGTAGGATAAATTTTGTAATTTAACTACAAAAGTTGGCAGACTATGGGGTTTGAGATTGATTACAAAAATAGTTTTTTTTTTAAGCTTCATCCTGTTAACTTGTTTTAAAATCTGTTTTTTCTAGCTCAGGAAACAATTTCTAATCCTGACAAAAGTTTGGATTTTCCTAAAATGCAAGCAAAGGGGAAAAAAAGGAAATGGAAAATGAAACTACCATAATGTAATGGAAGACCCAAAGCATGAAATTGAAACACACACACACAAAAGACAGCTCTAGAAAATATACCATATGTAACACAGCCTACTTTACATGCATTTGATTAAAGGGCAAGATCCACTAAATGAAATCAGGCTTTTTTTGTAGGAAAACACAGATAAGATATAACCTGTTTAAAAACTGGTAAGTTTTACTGCAGTGAGAATTTTCCAGGATATAGGAAAATATGGTTGCAACCTTCTGTGCATGGTTCACTGAGGGAAAAAGATAGATTAAAAGCAGGATGGCTACTTGCCAAAGAGACATACATAGACTCAATATCCAAGGCCATCGTCCTAGGCAAAGGGCACTGAAGCTACACAGCAATTGTGCTAAAATACAACACCACCAAGTCTGTTCAAAGTCCCAGCCAGCTGAATTCTCTTTCATTCCACCCACTCAATATTTTTTTTAAAAAAATTATCAATCAACATTCCACATTTATTTGAGCATGCTCAGTCATCTCTGCTTTAAAAGTTGCTTGCCCTGTTTTGTTTTGTTTTATTGTAGTTTTAAGAAAGTTTTTATTTTAATGTTTTTAATACGAGGGACATTTTTCTCCTGGGCTTCTCACTGATCCTGTTTGTAGAAGGAGCAAGGCTTAAGATCCACACTGTGCTGTATATCAAATGCAGCACATATACTGCTGGAGTAATAATTTTTATGTGAAGACATTAAAAATAGCTCATCCTTGTAGGTCCTTTCACAAAACTTGGTTTGTTAGGATTGTTATGCTGCAGTTGGATGCTGCATCTGCTGACAGGATCGATTTGAAAAGCCAGCAACCCACTAATCTGGCTGACACTTATTTGCTTCCAAATAGGCAGGAAATTCTGCAATGCCTGCTTTAAAAAACAACAACAAAGGAGATATATATACAGTGCAGTGTGGTTTTGTTGCTGAAGAAAAGTACCATATAAGTGATTTATTGCTGCGGTTAAAGATTCAGCAAGTTTTAGCTATTGAAATGCAATGATCGTCTCCCAAATTAAATTTAAGAGGAAAAACAGCTATATGCAGCGTAAAGAGTGTGAACATTTTTTGCTCCATCTTAAAGGCCAGAGAAATTCTTAGCATATTCACTTGAAAGAAAAATTTCTAGGTTTAAAGCCCTCTGAATACTCAAGTCTTCTGCATAAATTATTCTGAATTCTGAATTTATTTTCTACTTTGTTTCAGTCTGATCCAGATTGCTTTCACTATCCCTCTGATGTCATTATCTACCTGATGATCTTCTCTTTTAAACTTGTTTTCATTTCTCTTTCACTCCCCCTCCATATATCTTTTCTTTTATGTACACTGAGAGCATTTGCACCAAGACAAATTCCTTGTGCGTCCAATCACACTTGGCCTTTTATTCTATATAGGAAAGTTTATAGTTCCCGAAAAAAAATAAGCAATCTTAGGAAATCAAAATTTGGCCGTTTTTAAAAGATTTCCCTTCAAAAAGTTCCCAAAGGAGCTTGAGAAGTTTCTAACAATATACGTTTTTAAGAGAATAAAACAATCTACACACTGTAGAAAACCTTTCCCCATCCCCACTTTATTTGGGTGGGTGGGCGAGTGCAAGATTTAAAACAAAAGCATCCCTTTGGACAAACTTACTTCTAAGAAAAGTTTGGCTCTCAAGTTTGAAGAGAAAGATGAACCCTTTGTGAGTCGCAAGTTCTTCGGAATCCCTTGCGGGCCGGGATCCAATACCGAGCCAGGATTAGGCCAGCAAATCGCGGATTAAAGCTGAACATATATATAAAAATATTCGACCACGTATTTTTCTTCCTGGGGTTCACTCTCGCTCGCCCGCTCGCTCACTCGTTCCCTTTAGGATTGAGCATGTGCTCAGAGAGGATTCTGGGAGATGTAGTTTTGTGTCAATAAGGTTTAGCTTTCCAAAGTAAAAGTATCGGTATATCCGCCTTACAAATTTGAAAAAGGAGAGTTTGTCTAGCTTTCATAACGGGATGGTCCAAATTTCTATGTAAATCAGAAATCTGCATTTCGTCATCAAGTTACAAAAAGATAGCTTTTTTAAAAAAAAATGCACCCCCCCCCCCCAAAAAATGAATTTAGTGGTTGCAGAGTTGAGTTTATTTCCTTTCAACGTGAAGAATTGGTTGCCCACGGTACAAACCAGACTGCCGTCCTGTTTGCTGATGTAATGCAAAACTTTGCTCATATTTCACCTGTTTTCTTTGTCAAACGAAGCAGAGCCTGGAATAGCATGTGTCTGCTGATCAGGTTGCCTTTTGATGATGAGGATTGAATTGCCTTTAAAAATCTATGGTGCTGTTCCACTTTTTGTCACAGATCCAGAATAAGTAACATTAGATTCGGAGGAAGCTGCTGGTCTCTGGCAACTTGTTTGTGTTAGGGTGTACCCTAACTCTACAATATTTTATTTATTAAATTTATTGGCCGCCTATCTTACTAGAGAGTAACTCTGAGTGGCTTACAATATAGTTGTTTGCTGGGGGATGTAAACGTAATGTACTATGAAGTATTTCTCTCATCTTAGTCCAGACTTCCATTTTTCAGATAGTTACAACAGGCAAGGAAGGAAGGAAAGGAGAAAGGAAGGAAGGAAGGAGAGAGAGAAAGAAATAAGTTCACTCAAACGTGGCCAATTTTCTGTCATAGAGCTTTGCCTTTTGCTCAGGATTCTGGGAATTTATTTTTTCTCACAGTCTGAAAAGTTTTCTCACAGCCACAAAAAGCTACCTTTTTGTGACCCTTGCTTAGAAAACAAAGCAGAGAAAAAAACTGCTGGGCCACACCAATTTTAAAAACAAAACAAGACTAACTCTGAGCATGGACAAGAGGATTTAAAAAAAAAAATCATTTAAATTTAAATATCATCCTATTTAAGAATCAGTTCCCAGGTAGAAAAAGATTCGGGAAGCCATACATGAACACCAAACTTTTAGATCATAGGTAGATGCCGGTAGTCCTCATCTTACAATCATTTGCTAAGCAACTGCTTGAAGTCACAATGGCACTGAATAAAATGACTATGATTGGTACTCCTATGTATGACTGTCATAGCATCACCAAGGTCACATGATTAAACTTCAGACACTTGGCAACTGGCAAGTTTTGCAGCATTTTGGGATCATGTGATCACCATTTGTGACTGGAGATACAAGTAGTCCTCGAGTTACGACCACAATTGAGCCCAAAATCTATGTTGCTAAGTGAAAAATTTGTGATTTTTATCAATTCTTTTGTCTTTTATTTTACTATCTCCTTGTATTGCCACATCAATCTTCCACACTCTTGTCTTTTCAGCCACCCTTAAATCTTGTGTGTTGTGCCAACACTCTATCAGTTTATATTTGGAAATCCCACAACATTTTAATCTGTTCATTCTGAGCTATTTTTCAACTCTATGTTCCCACAGGTTGTTATATAATAGTTATTCATATTGTAGTTCATGGTAGAGTCAGCCAGATGTCCAAACTGGATTTGGCATTTTTACCATCTATTAGCTACTTTTTTTTTAAAGTCCCTGCAGTCACAGGAAATTAAAATAATTCCCTTCCTTGTCCCCTTTTCTGGACAGATACAGAGTTCTCAAATTATGACCATAATTGAGCCCAAAATGTATGTTATGAAGTGAAATATTTGTAAAGTGAGGGTTTTTTTTGCCTGATCCTAATAAAATTTTATCTAATTGCTGGAGTTTATTGTTAATTCCAAATTCTTTCTTGTCCTATCATTCTTTCACTCTTAGACAGTAATTTCCACCAATTTTCAGTCATAGAGAACTGAAGGTTGAAGGTGACTCAGTAGTCTGTCAAGTCTGCCTTTTTGTTTTTGTTTTTTTTGTTTTTCTTTTTAATTGTTTTTAATTATGTTTATTTTATTTTATATTTTTGTCAGATGATGGACATGTCTTTATCCCAAGCATGTTACCAGTAAAACTCAAATGTTTAAACTCCAAAGCACCTGAAAGTCAGACAGGAAGTGATGGATGGAAACTAATCAAGGAGAGATCCAACCTAAGGAGAAATTTCCTGACAAGAATAATTAATAATTAATCAGTGGAATAACTTACCTCCAGAAGTTCTTCAACCCTGGAGATTTTAAAGAAGAGATTGGACAACCATCTGTCTGAAAAGGTATAAGGTTTCCTGCTTGAGCCCGGGGGTCAGACTAGAAGACCTCCGAGGTCCCTTCCAACTCCATCATTCTGTTATTCAGTTACTGTTGACTGACTCACAACCTCCCTTGGGAGTTGCTTCCAATATTCCCCACGCCTCTTTCTGTGAAGGAATACTTTCTGACATTACTTTTGCACTTTCCTCTTGTCAGTTTGAAATCCCCCCACCCATTCTTCATTTTTGCTTAATGTTGAAAATACTGCCTTCTAGAACCTTATTCTCACCCTTAATATAGTATAAAATCCTACTGATTACGGAGATATGTAGACTGTAATTCAACAGCATCCGCCAGCCAACATAATTTTTAAAATCAGCAATCTTAAATGAGTGGGTTCTAACCTAAGAAAAATGTCCAGGTGTGTAGACATCAACCCACAAATTATTCTTTGTTGACTGGGGACTGGAAATTCCACATATTTGAAAGTTGTCCAAATTCCCTAGGATTGAATTGTAAGTACTACACGACAGTACACTACAGTTTATTTACAATCATTGTAAATAAATGTCAGATGTGGCATGCTCAAAATCCATAGTGAACATTAGAATGAAAGTACAATCATAAATAAAAATAGCTGAGGGGTCAAGTGTGGTGGAGAAAAATAGTTATTTTTGTAGTGAGGAGGGATTAATTCAAGCTGTACATATTTTCATCTTTGCACAGGATTGAATTGTACACTAAATATCTCTTGGAACACAGAGATTCTATTTTAAACTCATCTAAGATATAGCGAACTTTAAAAAAAAGAATGGACAGATGGACTATCCTGACAAATCTGAATATTCTATGATAGGGACAGAAAAGAACTGCACCAGTAGCTTGTTCTCTGTCATAAATATATCAGAATCCAATAGAATATAGACGCTTTTTTGAGCAAATCTACAATATGCCATCAACTTCAACGACTTCAGCTAACGAAGCGGGTTAGGGATGGTGGGAGTGTTTTCCATTTGGACGTCAATTATAATGAACATTTTATAATATTTCATTAAGTGCAGGATTCTGCGGAGATTTTTCCCTGGAAGGAACCTATTGCAATCTGTGAAATATTTGTCCAGGCGGACTGAAGAAGACGGCTCTTGCGATGCAGCACGTTTGAGGCGGGGGCGCCCGGTTGGGGAAGGAAGAAGCTAAGTCGTCTTCGTAATCAGCGCTCGGCGACCGCAAAAGGAAACAGGGAGGAGGCAAACGAACTACGTTTCCCAGAATGCTCTCTGATTTCTGCGCCGACTCCGTGTGTCTGAAGCCTCCAGACCCAGCCAGCGGGTAGGTTTCGAGGTCGCATGGCTTTGGTTGGGCTGCAGCTGCGGGCTGCTGTCCGCTCCTCGGTCTCCAGCCTTTCATGGTCGCGGCTGACGGTCAGAAACTATGCTGCCAAAAAACCGGGTAAGCCAGAGTGGAAGGGAGCGCCTTGAGCGTCCTCCATGGTCGGATGGAGGGGCGAGGGGCATCTAAGAAGAGCCTTGCACATCCTGGACAACCATTTGTCTGAAAATGGTTTCTTGGGTGAGCAGGGGGTTCGACTAGAAGACCTTAGAAGGTCCCTTCCAACTTCGTTATTCTGTTAAAGCCGTCCTCTTCCTTTGTTTATCTTTGGTAGATTGCTCTTCTGCATGGAAGTTCGATTTGTGCTGTCGCCCCAGCCTTTTAGAGGGAAGGAGCCAGTGGATTAGTTTAAAACCTTATTGCTTTTATTTTTTTTTTACTTATCCTTGCCGGTGTTTCTCGACGTTATCAACTTTAACATGTGTGGACTTCAACTCCCAGAATTTCCCCTGCCAGCATTTTGGCTGAGGAATTCTGGGAGTTGAAGTCCACACCTCTTAAAGTCATTGCGATTGAAAAACACTGAACTGTAGCCTACCTGGTCTGCCTTTAGCCACTACAGCAAAACTATCTCTTAGTAGTATTAGTCTAAGCTTGATATATTTTATATATAAGATAACCTTTATTGACATTTTTTTTCTGTGGGCACTCTCGCACACATTAAAAATGAAATTTTATTGGTGTTCTCAACATAACATACATATAGATATGCTATATACAAAAATATGTATATTCCTACACCCTAACATATATATATGACATTAGTAGAAGTTCAGGCAATACACTAAGCCCAAACTAATCAAAATACTGGTAGTCCTTGACTTATGACCACAATTGGCCCACAATTTGTTGCTAAATGAGACATTGTTAAGTGAACTTTGCCTCACTTTACAACCTTTCTTGCCACAGATGTTAAGTGAATGACAGGAGTTGTTAGTAACACGGTTAAGTGAACCTGCCTTCCCCACTGACTGCTTGTCAGAAGATCGCAAAAGGTGATCACATGACCCTGGGGCACTGCAACCGTCATAACTATGAGTCAATTGCCAAGCATCTGACTTTTAATTACGTGACTTAGGGATGTTGCAACGGTCGTAAGTGTGAAAAATGGTAATGAGTCACTTTTTTCAATGCCACTGTCACTCTGAATAGTCACTAACTGAACTGTTGTGACTCGAGGCCTATCTGTATACAGTATAGCTTGAGGGTTATGTAAAGCAGATGACTGTATGTGCAGAAAGTAGCTAGTTCTCATGATAGCAATATCTGCAGAGTTTGTACCGCTTAGGGGCACTTAAAGCACTGTAAAGCGGTACATAAGTCTAAGTGCTATTGCTATTGTTTCACAAAAAGTGCCATCTCCTCTGAGCTGCTTCCTGAAAGTAATTTTTTTCTGAGGGTGTTAGCCTGAGTTTCCTAGAGCGTGAAAAAGGAATGTAAAAGCAACTTTTTTTCCCATATCCCCAGAGATTGATTTGACTTGTGGAGTGACCCCCCCCTTTCCCCCCCTACTCCTGAATAATGTACTCACATATGCCAAAGCAGCTCCTGAAATAAAATATTTTCTTTTTAGCAGTGAAAGGCAGAATGAAAGGTCTTTCCAAAGAAGAACTGAAAGGCCCTGAAATATGCAAGGACCCAGTCAAGCTCACCACTCATGCTATGGGGGTGAACATCTACAAGGAAGGGAAGGACGTAGAGCTGAAGCCAGACTCTGAGTACCCTGAATGGTGAGCAGTGGCCCGTCTCGGTTACGATGATAGGCAAAGGAGGAATGACCTCCAATCAGGGGTGGGCTGCTGGGGGATTCGCAGGGGTCCGGGAGAGCCCCTAGCTAAGATCCTGTGCAGTTCGGAGAACCCCCAAATCCCTCTCCTGGCTTGCCTCGCCCACCCTGCCCCTCCCCTCCCAGGAGTCCCCACACAGCCCATTTGGGATGCAGGTAAGGGCAGGATGTGTGTGTGGAGGCTCGGGGAGGGCGAAAAACGGGCCTCCTGGAAGTTCAGGAAGGCCGGAAATGGGCCTGTTTCCAGCTTCCAGAGTCTCTGGAGCCCGCGGAGGCTGTTTTCACCCTCCCAGAAGCTTGAGGAAAGCCTCCGGAGCCCAGGGAGGGCAAAAACACCCCCCACTCCACCCCGCTGTGGTGCAGGAGGCCAACTAGGCCACGTCCACCATGACCACACCCACCCAGCAACCAGGCAGAGAACCCTTTGCTAAATTTTTTGAAGCCCACCCTTGAGATTGGGGCTACAGAAGTCTTTTGCTTCTCTTTGCTATTGTGTTGTTCTGGGTAAATGAAGGACACGGCTCAGGACCATGATGGAAATTCGGGATTCCATTATTGCGATAGCAATAGCACTTATATACTGCTTTGTGTGTGTGTGTATCTATTTCTGTCTGTCTATCAATCAATCTACCATCTATCTATATCTATAGATAGATGATCGATAGAAGATATAGATAGATGATGGATAGATGATAGAAGATATAGATAGATGATAGATAAATAATAGATTGATCGATAGATGATAGATAGCAATAGCACTTAGACATATATACCGCTTTATAGTGCTTTATAGCCCTCTCTAAGCAGTTTACAGTGTCAGCCTGTTGCCCCCAACAATTTGGGTCCTCATTTCACCGACCTCGGAAGGATGGAAGTCTGAGTCAACCTTGAGCCTGATAGGATTTGAACTGCCAAATTGTAGGCAGCTAGCTGCAGTAGAAGTAGCTTGCAGTACTGCACTCTAACCACTGTGTGACACCGGCTCATTATGGTTGTAAGTTGAAGATTACTTGAATCAAATTTCCATTGCTTCCGAATGTCACTTCTTATTCAAGTTTGAAAGCCCTTTGACAACTGTCCATCCAAAGTTGTACTGGGTCCAATTGGGTCCAATTGGCAAAAAGAAAGCTCAGAACCCTATCGGTTGAAAAAATGTGAAAGAGTCCTTCATCCTGCAGTGAATAGACAGTGGCTAGAATGATGATGATCTCTGAATAAGTTTAGTTTAGTTTGCTTTATTGTCATTGCACCTCGTACAATGAAATTAAATACCGTCTTTAGTGTACATTATGACTATGAAAATAAACACAAACACACATCCTTCACATTCTATACCTTGAATTGAAAACCCCTGATGTTGTATTAATATTGCACTATACAGTAGAATTCAACAGAGCTACTGCCCTGGGATAGAACCTGTTTTTCAGCCTATTTGTCTTTGTTTTTATTATCCTGCATCATCTGCCAGATGGTAATAGTTCAAAAAAAGGGTGTCCCTGATGAGATGGATCTTTGAGAATGGTTTTAACTTTCTTAAGGCAGCGGGAACTATAAAGATCTTCCAAAGAGGGGAGAGGGCAACCAATGATCTTCTGGGCAATGACATTAACCCTCTGGAGTGCTTTCCTATCTGCCACTGTGCAATTGGCAAACCATACAGAGGTGCAGTATGTTAAGGTATCTTAACATACTGCACCTCTGCAGCAGTAGAAGGTCACCAGCAGTTTTTCATTCAGTTGCTGTTTTCTGAGAAGTCTCAGGTAGTATAATCTCTGCTGGGCCCTTTTGACCAGGGCTGCAATGTGGGCACCCCAGGTCAGGTCCTCTTTTATGGTAACACCCAGAAACTTTAAACTGGCCACTTGCTCCACTCAGTCTCCATTGATAAGCAAGGGCAGGATGTATGATCTGTTCCTTCTGTAGTCCACTATAAGCTCCTTTGTCTTATTGGTGTTGAGGACCAAGTTGTTGTCTCCAAATCAAATTATTTATGTGTGTTTGTTGTTTCCAGATTTAAAATAAAAGAACAGTGACTAAGGCAGGTACAGATAAGCCCTTCGCTGACAACCATTCATTTAGTGACTGGTCAAACTTACAGTGGCACTGAAAAAAAGTTACTGACCAGTCTTCTAATGTTACTAAAGTTACCAATGACCATTGCAGCATCCCCATGGTCACCTGATCAAAACTCAAGACACTTGGTAACTGACTTGTATTTATGATGGTTGCAATATCCTGCGGGCATATGATCCCCTTTTCTGACCTCCTGACCAGCAAAGTCAATGGGAAAGCTGGATTCACTTAACAACCATGTTGCTAACTTAACAGCTGCAGTGATTCACTTCATGGCAAAGAAGGGCATAAAATGGCACAAAAACTCAATTACTGTCTTGCTTACCAATGGAAATTCTGGGCTCACTTGTGGTTGTAATTCAAGGACTACCTGTACAGAGGTTTGATCAGTGTGGTGGCGCAGTGGTTAGAATGCAGTATTGCAGGCTAATTCTGACGACTGCCAGGAGTTCGATTCTTACCAGCTCAAGGTTGACTCAGCCTTCCATCTTTCCGAAGTCAGTAAAATGAGAAGCCAGATTATTGGTGTTGTGGTTCGCCCGCAGCCGGTGCAGACGGCAGCATAGTCGGACAGCGAGGGAAAAAGGGGACCAATCAGGGAGTCTGGAGAGGCCTTGGATGCGGGTCCTGTGTCCGATGCAGGGATGGGGCCAGGACCATCTGGGAGCGGGGTGCTGCCTTCGGAGTCTGGCAGCAGCGAGGCAGAGGACCCAGGGGAGCCTGTTCCCAGTGCGCGTAGAGCTGCTAGAAGGCAAGAGCAGCTGAAGCAGAAGGGGCAACTAGGGAGTAAGGCTGGGAGTTGATTGCCCCTCCCATAAGGGATAAAAGTCAGACCTCAATAACGAAAGCTTTGCAGGAAGCAAGGTAGTTTGATAGATTGAAGCTCTGGTTGGTTTTTTCTGGTATTTCGGTTGGTTTCTGTGATAATTGGAGAGTTCTGTTTTTGGCAACATTCCACAGTACCTAAAGGTGTGTGCTTATATTGGGAACTGTTTATAATTAGTTCTGGCTGGGAATGAAAGTAATTCCCAGTGTTGTAATAAAATGGGTTTTGCTTTTAAAACAAGTTTGTGTTTAATTATGTTTGACAAAGCCTGGGTCAGAGCAGTAGGGGACAATATGCTGACTGTGTAAACCACTTAGAGAGGGCTGTCAAGCATAACATAAGTCTAAGTGTTATTGCTATTGCTAACACTTTCAATCAGTCAGCTTCCTCCATAGAAAGCCACAGTCCCTGTTGTTTTATAAGCTTTTCAAGATGCTGCATGACTGAATTTATTTTATTATGGCTGTTTCTCTTCCCTGTCTCCCCATCCCAGGCTTTTCAATATGGACTTGGGCCCCCCTAAGAAGTTAGAAGAACTGGACCAGGACACTATGAAGTACTGGCGTCTGCTCCGGAAAGAGAATACAAAGTTAGCGAAAAAATATTGGAAGACAAAACCATTTTGATGCTAATACTAGGACGTGGAATGGAGGTCATCTCAGGAAGGACTTGGGATATTAGGAAGTGGGATTCTCTCTCTCTCTCTCTCTTTTAATTATTCTTATTCTACCCTCTAAATAATGATCAATAAAAGCTCTACTTTCTATAATTCTTAGATTTTCCATTATCTTTTTGTAAGGCCTACTGGTTAAAAATTATAGGAGTACAAGTAATCCTCAATTTACAACAGTTCGTTCAGTGACCATTCAGTTACAATAGCCCTGAAAAAAGAGACTTGTGGCTGTTTATCACACTTATGACCGTTAACAGCATACCCATGGTCACATGATTAAAATTCAGGCATTTGATGATCGACATATTTCTGATGCTTGCAGTATCCTGCGGGTCATCTGATCCATTTTTGCCACCTTCTGACAAGCAAAGCGAATGGGGAAGCCAGATTCACTTAACAACTGGGCTAACTAACTTAATAACTGACGAGATTCACTTAACTGTGCCAAGAAAGATCGTAAAAGGGGCCAAAACTCACCAACTGTCTCGCTTGGCAACAGAAGTTTTGGGCTCAATTGTGGTCCAGAGGTGGCATTCAGCAGGTTCTGACCAGTTCTGGAGAACCGGTAGCGAAAATTTTGAGTAGCTCTGAGAACTGGCAAATGCCACCTCTGACTGGGCCCCCTGCCCCCATCTATTCTCTGCCTCCCAAGTCCCAGCAGATCGGCTGGGTCTTCTTTGGTGGCCCTGCCCAGGAGAACAGAGCTGGAAAGCAGGTTAGTGGGGTGGGGAGGGAATGGGGATTTTACAGTATCCTTCTCCTGGAGTGGGGTGGAAACATGGGTGGGATTCAACTGGTGTTAACTACGCTGCGCGCATGTGTAAAAAAAAACCTTCAGCTGAACCGCCTGGACAGCTGATAAGCACTGCGTGCAGGTGCAGAGCGTTTGAAAAGCCTCTTTTTTCCTGCTTTTTCAACCGCAGCTGTGCCATGCAAAGCAGCTGAGGTTGAAAAAGCAGGAAATAAAAGACAGGTAAGAGCCCGGGCAGGCAGGTGGGCCAAAACAGCAAAAACACAGAACTGGTTCGGCGTCTGCTGCTCTTCAGAGCTACCGGTTCTTTAGAACCGGGCAGAACCAAAAGCATATCACCCCTGGGTGAATATGGAGATCCTTCCCCTGCTCTGCCCAACAAGCCATACTCACAGAACCAGTAGTAACATTTTTTGAATCCCACCACTGTAAATGTGGTCATAAGTCAAGGCCAATCTGTATATTTTGACCTTGGCAACTTTAAGAAAGTGGGATTCTGGGAACTGAAATCCATGTATCATAAAGTTGGGAAGGTTGAGAAACACGGGGTTATAGAATTTGAACTCTTAACACGTTTGAAATAGCCCTGATGGGGTCAATTTGATTTGTACCATGAGAGCTTAATTTTAGGATATAGTGTATATTCTTGTTTAAACTGTGAATCTTGCAAACATATACAGGTAGTCCTTGACTTAAGAATAGTTCATGTAGTGACCAGTTGAAGTTATAATGTCACTGGAAAAAGTGACTTATGACCATTTTTCATACTTATGACTGTTGCAGCATCACCATGGACATGTGATTTACGATTGCAGGGTCCCAGGATCATGTGATCATCTTTTGCAACATCCTGACAAGCAAAGTCAACGGGGAAGCCACATTCACATAACAACCATGTTACTAATTTAACAACTGCAGTGATTCACTTAACAAATGTGGCAAGAAAAGTCGTAAAACGGGGCAAAAACTTAAGGAATTTCTCGCTTAGCAACATACATTCTGGGCTCCATTGTGGCAAGACAAGAAACAATGGATGGAAACCAATCAAGGAGAGAAGCAACTTGGAATTAAGGAGAAACTTCCTCGGTGAGGATAATTAACCAGTGGAATAGCTGGCCTTCAGAAGTTGTGTCTTTTAAGAAGAGAGTGGACAGTCACCTATCTGAAATGGTATAGGGTCTCCTACTTGAACGGGGTTGGACTAGAAGACCTCCAAGGTCCCTTCCAGGTGTATTCTGATTGACTTAATAGCTTCTTGACCACTTTTGTCTATTACAGACTGCCCCCCCCTCTTTCTTCATTCTTTTCTTTCTGATATTATTATCCTGTCTTTTATTATTCTATAAATAACTCAAGACAGGGAACATATTTCCTCCCCCTATTTTCCCCACAACAACTCCGTGAAATGGGTTGGGCTGAGAAACAATGACTGGCCCAGAGTGATCCAAGCCAGCTTTTATGCCTAAGGCAGAACTAGAAATTGATGTCTTCTGGAACCCATTGGACAGAAGTCATCCAGCCCATTTTCATCCGTAAGGAAGGCAGGACTACAACTTAGCTTCTAGTCTGATGCCTTAACCACTAGAGAAAACTGCCTCTCCTCTTAATTTCGGGTTCACAATGTCTCAATTTTTCTTACATTCCTATCACTTGTTAATGAACCTCCTTTCCACTTATTATTCTTCTTAAATTTCAAGTTATAATCTTCCACATACCGTGGATAACAGCTTTGCCTAGGATAGTGGTTTTTGGTTGAATCTTTCAGGTAAAAAGATGAGGAACTTCAAGAAGGGATAACAAGGTTATCAGTCTTATTATGTCCAGTCCTGACACATTTTAGACAAGATGCCACAGACATAATCCACATCCAGATTTACCCTAAGTATGCCAGGGTAGATCTGCAGATATATATTTTTTCTGTAGATCAAGGTTTTCCAACCTTGTCAACTTTAAGATGTCTGGACTTCAACTCCCAGAATTCTACAGCCAACATGGCTGTTGGGGAATTCTGGAAGTTGGACTCTTTGAATCTTAAAAGTTGACAAGGTTGGAAAACTCTGATCTATAAATTATTTCGGAAGTCAACTTACACTCCCACCAACTACAACATCCATGCAGTGTTTTCACATCCAGCATACAACTAGTCATTGCCAGGATTATTTTTTATACAGATATAAAACATGGCTGTCATGCAAGTTGTTAAACATCTTAGATTAATCTGACCATTAACATCAACTGTTATAAAAGATCAGAATCCATCTTTGCAATGGGAAACATAACTTGTGCATTAATTTCTCTGGCAATCGACTTCATTTCTGCAAAAAGGGAGGGTAAAAACAGTGAAAAGTTCTTTTTAAAGAATTTTTGGCCAAAATCACAAGAGCATTGAGTTTAAGAATGCTTCCTTGGGAAATTTCAAGGCACTGGCATGATCTCATTGCAATCACATCAGAGGCTGTTAGAGAGTCAGTTTCCTTAGATAACCAATTATAGGTGGTCCTCGAATTACGAGCACAATTCAGCCCCAAATTTCTGTTAAGTGAGATTTATTTTCATTTTACGACCTTTCTTGCCACAGCTGTTAAGTGAATTACTTCAGTTGATAAGTTAGTAACTCGGTTAAGTGAATCTGGCTTCCTCATTTGACTTTGGTTGTCAAAAGGTTGCAAAAGGTGATCACATGACCTTGGGGCACAGCAGTGGCCATAAGTATGAACCAATTGCCAAGCATTTGAATTTTGATCACATGATCCTGGGGATGACACAAAGAATCTAACTATGAAAAATGTTCATAACTCACTTTTTTCTGTGCTGTTGTAACTTTGTGAACAGTCACTAAGCAAAATGTTGTAAGTCGAGGACTACTTGTATAATATGTATCCTGTTGCAATTTTATGGTGCTTGAGCAAGGGGTTGGATTACAAGACCTTCAAGGTCCCTTCCAATTGTTAATGTTATTCTTTTATTTATTTGGGTTTGTACCTGCAATGAGTTCTATTAGTGTTGCATATCAAGTGATTGGATCTGTACATGACCTATGTTAAATAATAATAATAAAATAATAGTAATAATATCCTGATTTTACAAAAAAAAACTACCCTACTTGGAACAGCTTATATCCTCCGACACTACCTGAACAGTTCCTAGGTCCTTGGTTAGGACTCCAGCTGTTGAGCTACCAACCAGCCCCAAAGGCTGTGAATCTCACTAAAGATTTAATGATGATGATAATAATAGTAATAATAGTAACAATAATAAAATGAAAGCATCGCAAAAGTGCCAATCAAAAAAACCCCGTTTTCTTCATTACACTCGACCCGACTGAATTGGGGGGAAAAAGTATTAAATTCACATTTCGGTCTTTCACAGGCAACCACGCTTTTACTAAAGGGAAGGAACTAAATAATGCAGGACTTCCTCCGTTTGTTTCCTCCTGCATTTCTTTCCCCTTTTCCTACAAACCACCGAGAAACAACGCTAAGAGATCAATCATTGGGGGAAGAGGGACCTTGAGCGTTTCTTCAAAGCCCCCCCACTCCCCCGCCCGCCTCCCAATCGCACATGTGCCACGTTCCCACGGAGACCGGAAGCGGGCGATCCGAAAGCGGAAAAGGGGGAGAATGAGTAGGCGTGGCCTGATGTGGGGCGTGGCTTGGGAAAGGGAAGGAGGGAGGGAATCAGGTGGTGGAGAGGAGGAGAGAGAGCAGGTGAGAAGAGAAAGGGGGGGGGTGTTATTTGGGGAGGGGTAAAGGTTAGGTGGGGGGGTGTCTGTAAATTTAGAGGAAGTTTAGGGGAGCCTGATCTGGAGTGGGGGGGAAAGAGGTTGTGGGTCCTCTCGGGGCGGGCGTCCTCTTGGAGAATTGGGGAGGGGGGACTTGGAGGAAATGGACCGTCTCGTGTGAAAGGGGTGACGCGGGGAAAGAGATCGTGGTCTGTTGCTAAAGAGGGGCTGAATACGGGGTTGGGGTAGGGCGTGGGTAGGCTTGGCATTGGGGCAGCTGGAGCTTGGGAGGAACTAACGGTGGGGAAGAGAGCGAGGGTCTCCCAGGGGGAGCCAGCCAGGAGTAGAGCTGGCTTGGGAGGTGGGTGGTGAAAATATGGTGGGTGGGTTGTTGCTTACTGAGCAGGAAGAACTGGAGTCTGTTGGTGGAAGGGGAGTGGGAGGATCTGGCTATGGGGAGGGGTTCAGGATCCTTCCAGAGGAGCAGAAGAGAGCAGGTCTGAAGGAGAAGGTGACCCTGGATAAGAGCCACTCGGGGTGGGGGCTGGACGGGTGCAAGGAGCCTTCCAGGAGGGAGGGGGCTTTGAACCAGGTGGGGTGTGTTCGTGTCCTAGATAGTTTAGCAGGGGGGTGAGTGGGAAGTAGAGGAAAAGAAGAGAGGATGAGAAAGAAAGAAAAAAAGAGGAAATTCAGCCAGGTGGGGAGGAAATGTGCACCCCTTCCTCCTCCAATGCACACACTGCAAGGCATTGAGGAGAAAAGGAAGGTTTTGATGCAAACTCTGCTGCTGGTAGAAATGGAGGAAAGGGCTCGAAGCGGGCTGTTATGACAGAGGGAGGGGGCCCGTAATGTGCCAGGGGAAGGAAACGGAAGGGTCCAGGAAGATGATGGATCGGGGAAAGAGGTCTGTGGCATGACTGCTGGAGGGTAGAATCAAGGCTCTGAGGGTGTGTGTATTATCTGCTTGCAATAGAGTGGGTGTGGTATCTGCAGAACGGGTGTATTCTGTATCAAACCCCCCCCCCATCCTCCTCTTTTTTTCCCTGCATGCATCTTGCATAGCCATCCTTGGCGAAAGGGACTGCAGAGCCAGTAGTGAACATTCTGGAACGTGGTTGGGATGCATGGGCTGTCCTTCCTGCTCAGCGCAGGAATAAGGGCTTTTTTAAACTAAGGGAGGAAAAAAAAAACAGAATTTCAAGCATCAGAGCCTTCTGCTCCCCCACCCCTTCCAAAAAAACCTCTCATCCTCTAAATGCATCTCACTTCCCCCCCACCCCTTACACAATGATATCTTTGCACCTGCAGATGGGACTGCAGTTTCACAGTAACGGTTCGGATGGTGTGTGTGAGAGAGAAGCGCGGATAAGCTGAGGGACCAAGATAATTAAATTTAACTCCTCCTGGTTCCCATTCCTGCGTTGACAAACAAGGGATGTTTTGATTGTGGTTTCTAGCCTTGTGGAAGTAGAGGGAGGTGCTGAATGGAGACAAAACTGAGATGGAAGCAAACCATTCTTGGTAGGTGGAGGTGAACTTGGATTAACCAAGATAATTTGTGGTGTGTATGCCCTGGGACTTTTGGTTGAAAAGTCCTTGGGGGTGTATTTTATAGGCTTTTTTTTAAGGAGCGAGTGCACAGATGACTGGATACCTAAAATTCCCATAGAAATCATAGGACTTTTCTTTGAACAACACTCTTCTATGTTTTTTAAAAAAGCTATCCGGTTTTAACTAACTGCTTCTGTGGGGCAATATCCTTTTAACTTGCAGCAGGCATTATGAGAAGGGTGATTTTAAAACATAAACAGGAACTGTTTATTTTTACAGGCTTTTGGCTTCAGAGACTGCAAGGGATGTTGATGCAATAGCTTTTTCTGCTTGGGCACATCAGGATTTTTGTGGAGCCCTTTTTGAGGATAAAAAGCAACTATTACATAAAAAGTGTTTTTAGCTTATTGGAGGCATAATGCATCTTCATTTGTTTTAATCTCTTTTTAAAAATGCATCGCAATGCTTTTGATTTTCAGTGCTTGGCCGCTGTATTTCAAAAGTGTGTTTCTGGGGGGAATAGATTTGTGTGTGCCCTGAAGCTAGCTGACAATGAAACAATCACCTTTTTTTTTTGATTATTATGTTTCTCGCCTTACCTACAATTAATTAAATCGGGCACAGTTTGCATTTGATAAAAACTATTGGGTTTTTTTTGGAAGGGGAAAACCATTTTTGAATGCTTTCAAATGAATAAGCTTCTCACTGTGTCAGTCAAAAGGTTGTGTGTGTTATTCCATTTCTTCTTTTCTAATTTAAAAGGGGAAAAAACAGTGGTAGAAGCAATGTTTAAGACATGGGTTTCATAGAAGATAGTGTTATGCCTCCTGGTGTAAAAATCATGTTTGGAAGCAGAGCAGAGTTGCAGCAATAACAGTCCCTTCTGGAAGCATTTTTAAAAAACTTTTGGTGGATTAAAATAATTGTTATTTTAAAAGCAACATTCTGTTCTCTGTTAATGCAGAAAAGCGGGAGGAAAGGGGTGCAGGTGTTTCTAAAACGGCAGCTGCCACCTATTTCTTTAATAAAATAAGTTACATAAGGGGAAAATAATCAGGTTGCCTTTCTGTTTAAATTGAAACTGTTTTAGTCTGTTCATTTTACTATTTAAACACGCATAGTTAGGTTGCTTTCTAGTTACAGAAAACCACAAGGAATTACCTGCGTGGTTTTTTCTTCCTCTGGGAGAAAAAGATGAAGCTTATTCATATGTAGAATACAGTAAAACATACCCAGATTTAGTAGCTGAATTCATATATTTTTTTTGATTCAGATGTCTACGTTCTGCTGCAAAATAGGCACATTGTAAAGGCAAATTTCAGCAGCCAATCCTCCTTCAATGTGACTTATATAACTTATTTAAAAAAATAAAAACAGATGGCAAGTACCATCTTAGAAACAGCAATCCCCTCCACTCAGTTTGGGTTCTTAAATTGCAGGTACCCCTTCCTCAGTCCACACCTGCGCAAAGAATACTTTGAGCTGGTCCGACTCACTTAGGATATTTATTCTTTCCAATGATGGTGATTTGGGTCGATGGGGGAGTGATTTGATCAGTGGATGGATCAGATGTGTTTCCCACAGGCTCAAAATGCTGCTTTTGTGTGTGTGGTGCGTGTGCACATGCTCACACCTTCAAGTGGGACTGAATTTCTGGTGGCTATGTGGAAAACATATTTGGAAATAGGTTGCCCTTGCCTTCTACTCCTTAGACTGAGGGGGAGGGACCAGCGCAAAATCCCCCAGCTGGCTTGGGGCCTGAGGCAGGATTAGAACTCACAATCGCCTTATTTTGAGTCTGATGTTTTCACCACTGCGCCAAGCTGCGCCTTAGGGGTTTTTGAAGAGGAAGGTTTATTCTAATGTGACTTTAGAGTCATTCAGATCACCATTGTTCCAAGGGTGTTTTTTTAAAGAGACAACTGGCTGTTCTTTGGTTTTCTTTGAAGAAGTTTCGCTTCTCATCCAAAAAGCTTCTTCAGCTCTGATTGGATGGTGGGGAATGGAAAGATTTATATTCCTTATAGACCGCTGGTCATTTGCCTTCTTTTAGAGAGACGTTGAGGCCACTTGGAGGTTTATCTGTGTTCTCAGGGTCATATGAGTGGTGGAAATGCCTTTTTGGAACTGGTGAAAGGACTACGTTGAGAATACAGGTTCATACAGAGGTATAACCCAGCCACCCCTGACTAAACAGTTTCTTCAGCTTCAACTGCTTGTAATTTAAGGTTGGAGTTCCTTTTCACATGGACAAGTAGTCCTCGACTTAGGACCCCAATTGAGATCAATGAATCACTTTCAGTTATTAATAACATGGTTGTTAAGCAAATATGATTTCCCTCATTGTTGGAAACCAACTGAGAAGGTCGAAAATGGCGATCATGGGACCTCGGGACAGTGCAACTGTCATGAATACATGCCAATCGTGTCCAAATTTTGATCACATGACCATGGGAATGTTGCAGTGGTTATATTGGGAAGAACAGGTAATCTTCAACTTACAACAATTCATTTAATGATCATTCAAAGTTACCCCAGTATTGAAAAAAGTGACTTACGACCGTTTTTCATACTTATGCCCATTGCAGCATCCCCATGGCCATGTGATCAAAATTCAGACAGCTGGCAACTGACTCATATTTATGACAATTTCAATGTCCCAAGATCAGGTGTTCAATTTTTGCTACCTTCTAATGAGCAAAGTTAATTGGGGAAACCAGGCGCATTTAACAAAAGGGTTCCTAACAGTTGCAATGATTCACGTTAACAACTGTGACAAGATAAGTCATAAAATGGGGCAAAACTCACTTCACAAATGCCTCCCTTAGCAACGTAAATTTTGGGCTCAGTTGCAGTCGCACGTCAAGAACTTACCCGTACCAGTTTTAAGTCAAATTTTTCCAGTGCCATTGTAACTTCAGTCACTGAATGAGTGGTTGTAAGTCGAGGACGATCTGGAGAATCGGTCCCTTTGTATCCCAAGCTTTATCAGAACAAAGTTCCCAACCCTTTTTTGTTTCTCTCTCCAACTCTTCTGTCGTTCCAGTGCCCTCTGGCACCTGTTTCCAAGCAATGACCTCAAAGGCCAAGAAGCGGGTGGTCCTTCCCACACGCCCCGAGCCCCCCAACACAGAACAGATTCTTGAAGATGTCCAGCGTGCCCAGCCCAACGACCCCGTTTTTGTCCTCCTGGTGGAGCCCAATGAAGGTATGAAGATCCTGGCCCATAGGGTGTCTTCTGCACTTCGGGTTGCAAAGAAAATGCAGGGACCGGGTTACCCCAGGGTTTTTTTTTAAAGTTGAAATGGCATACAGACTATAACTTGGGGGGGAAATCTCAGGGCAGATGAGAATCCAGGCCAAAGCTTAACATGGATGAAAAGGCACACAAAGGATAAACATTGTGCCCTGAATGCAAAGGAAAAGGCTGGAGTTTCACTAAAAATAGTAAATTCTAATGATCTGTGCGAATGACCTTGGGAGACAGAAGGAAGAGCTGCAGACTAGGAAATAGATCAGAAACTGCTTAGCCTGCAGGAGGAATGGGGGCATAGCCAATGTCTCAGAAGGGATCCTCTCTTAATTTCATGGACCGTCGAGACGAGGGAGGAGCGATGTCTGTTCAGGTTCTGTTCCACCAACACCTTCGTTCCTAAAAGATCTGCCAATTTTGGGGAGGCGAATTGGGGTCCCAAAACCCCACGACATGGAATGGTTGATGAAAGATTTGGTTGTGCTGGTCTGTGGGTGCAAGGAAGCTGCATCCAGGTTGCCCAACCAGCCAGCATATTAGAAACATCTTTTGACCTTACAGACAATGCTAAGCCACAAAACCTGGTGTCAACTCGTAAAGCATTCCCTAGCTTGCTCTTGAGTTGCCATAAGAAGGGTGGGGGGAGATCTGATGGAGCAGTTTGTTGCTATGATCGGAAGCACATTCCACGCCTACCTTTCTCCAGTTTGAGTCTCAAGTTACCAAGTTCAGCCGGAGAGGTGTGTTTTCCATAGCCCTCGAGTGCTTCATTGGAGAATGTGATTTATGACTACAACCCGGGCGGAGGGTGGAAACAGGGTCATAGGTGGGCAGTAAATTACGTAGGGCAGGACTGACTGCACTTGGGAAAAGTGCCGAGATGTTGCTCCTATTAAATGATTGGATTTCTTTTGAAACTTGGCTCGAGGCTCATGAATTAATCAGGGCATTCATCAGAACCCTGACACCTGGTTTGTGAATCCAAATGTCTGGCTCACAAAAAATAATAAGACAGACCCATTAAGGCAGAGGCCCCCAACCTTTTGGGTATCAGGGACTTGATCCATGGAGAGAGGTACTGCCTGCATCCTCGGATGCTTGCTTGTTTGCACAGTCTTGATTACTGGCATGCCGCAGACCAGTGCTGCTGGTCCAGAGACCAGGGTTTAGGGACCCCTGCATTAAAGAATTTCCCAGCTTATTATTGTGGTGTGAAACAGTCAGTTCAGTGTTAACTGCAGTCTCTTCTCTATGACTTTAAACAAATCCTTAGTCGGGGGTGGGGGACTGTGGCCCTTTTATGACTTATGGACTTCCATGCCGGCTCAGGAATTTGTGGGATTGAAAACCACACGTCAAAAAGGGGCCATAGTTCCACATCTCTGTGGCCTAAGTAAATGCACTGTGGATTGAGTGTGGCCTTAACATTCTGTGATTTCCAGTGGTTCTAACCCAGGCTTTGTCAAACTTAATAAAACACTAACTGAAATTAAAAGTGAAACCTTTTTCAATGTGATGCTGGGAATTACTTGCATTCCCAGCCAAAACTCATCAGACACAGTTCCTCCAGGTAAGAGCATGCTTTTCAGTGCTGCAGGATGCTGCCAAGAAACAGAAGTCCAATTACTTTAGGATATAAACCGACAGGAGTTCCAGTATAAACAAACCAGAGTTCGCAGGGCTTCACTGAGGAATCAGAACCCCATGAACTTCTTTGCTTCCTGCAAAGAGCTTGTCACCGAGGGCTGACTTTTATTCCTTATGGGAGGGGCAATCGCCTTCCAGCCTTATTCCCAAGTCGCCCCCTCTGCTTCAACTGCTTCGCCCCCTCTGCCCTGTGCACATGCGCACTGGGAACAGGCTCCCCTGGGTCTCCTGCTTCGCTTCTGCCAGACTCTGAAGACAGCACCCCGCTCTCAGATGGTCCAGGCCCCACCCCTGCATCAGATGCAGGACCCTCGTCCAAGTCCTCATCAGACTCCCTGACTGGATCCCTTTCGTCCTCACTGTCCGATACCTCTGCCGTCTGCATCGGCTGCCAGCGAACCACAACACCAGTCCTATTGAAGCTGCTAGATTGATCTTTGTATAATTTTCTTGAAAGTGAAATATTTAACCATCACAGAAGAAATTTAATTCTCATGGTTTTAGATGAAGCTTAGATTTTTATTAGAAATCGAAGAAGTTAAATTGAATCCAGCTGGAAATCAAATAAGCTTCTTTTGGGGAATACTGTTCTCCAGAACTTCTTTTTAGATGTTCTATTACAATTATCACAATATAAAACACAAATGAGGATGATAGGAAAAAACGGAAGAAAAGGGATAGAAAGGTTGACTTTCAACTTTTTTCAGCATAGTAAAGTATAGAATGGAATTACAACCTCCAACTTTTTACTTTTACAAAACAAATATTAGCCATTTTCTATATCAGCCAGTTCTATTAATCAGCAAAATCAAGAGTTCATTATTTTTTCTGTCTCAAGCACAAAGTCCAGAAGTGATTTCCGGGGAGGAACAAAGCTGGATATGTTATTTTTTTTCTAATAGGAAATGTCAATTTTGCCATTCTTGCCGTGGCCAACATTTACAGTGATAAAGTTCAAAATCTTTCAGGAAGATTTAACAGGGAAAATCTTATCTAGTAATCCTAAAAGAAAGACTTTGGGTTTCAATTTTATATTAGTTATGACTGCACTATAACATGAAACTGACTGCATTGTAACGTGAACCTGAACCCCACTATTCTCCGGAGCTTCTGACTGGGTTTTTTTGTAGCTGAACCTAGATGTGTCATATTGAAACTAGGAGGATCTGGGTGCCAGCCGATGCTTTATTGCTAAGCTGTGTAGGTGCTCCGTAAAGGTAGCACACTTTATTTCTGTCTGAGGAGTCCTTGGTGCTCTCTGAGCTTGGGTGTCTTCTTGTAAATGTTTCATTACAAACTAGGTAACATCATCAGTGCTAGTAGAGAGCAGAGATTAATTCTAAGATTAGCATCAGATTTCAGAGGTGGTATTCAGCCAATTCTGACAGATTCTGGAGAACCGGTAGTGGAAATTTTGAGTAGTTCAGAGAACCGGCCAATCCCACCTCTGACTGGCTCCGCCCCCATCTATTCTCTGCCTCCCAAGTCCCAGTTGATTGGCTGGGTCTTCTTTGGTTGCCCTGCACAGGAGAATGGAGCTGGAAAGCAGGTTATTGGGGTAGGGAGGGAATGGAGATTTTACAGTATCCTTCCCCTGGAGTGGGGTGGAAATGGGGATTTTACAGTATCCTTCCCCTGCCACGCCCACCAAGCCACGCCCACAGAACCGGTAGCGGAAAAAAAAATGAATACCACCACAATCAAGAAGTAAACAGTACCCCAATCAAGGAACTGCCAAAAAGCTACTAGTAAACAGCTCATCCAAAGAACCTACAGAACCATTGCCACCAAAAACTGACAGGGCAAGTCACTAGAATATAAAACGAGAGCAAACCCCACTGCCTGTTAGCACTGACGATGTTGCCTCGTTTGGTAATGAAACGTCTGCAAGAAAACAGGCCAAGCTCAGAGAGCACCGAGGAGCCCTCATGTCAACCCTGAGCTCCAAATATTCTCTATCATTATCTCTTTGTTTCTCTTTTCTCTCCACCCCACCCGCTCCCCATTTTGCCTGCCTTCAGATTTGCCTACCCCAACGAAGAATGAGGATCCAGAGGCCAAGAGAGAACGCCTGTACCGGCTGACCCAGTCCTACGTGGAGATGAATCACCGCCTCCAGAAGGCCTGCAGTTTGCTCAAGGAGAAGTGCGAGGAGCTGAAACTGGCCGGAGCAACCCTGGAGCAGGGCATTTTAGAGATGAAGCAGAGGGCGTTGTGAGAGACTTTTTTTGGGGGGGAGGTGACCGCAGTCGAGTGTGACCCGCCTTCTCCCCCCCCCCCTTGCAGGATCCTATGCCATGCTTTGAACTAACGGACTCGCCATTGTGATGTGATTTCAGCATGCCTACGCTACACATCTTCAACACCGTCTTGTGTTTTAGGTTCCGTGAATTGTGCGCTCAAGCCAGCTGCCTGCTACAAGCCTCTTGAGGGCCTGGATCTCTTCACTGTGCTCATGCTGAGATGCCCAGTTGTGCAGTTAGCGTTGTTTTTATTGTTTTGGCCCTAGATTCCCTGTTGCTCTTAGTTCTCCGCGGCTCCATTTGGCCCTCGTTTTGTTTCCTTCACACAGACCTTCAGAACCAAAACAGCTCCCTTTGGGGAAAGCTGAGGGGAGGTTTCCACAGAGTTCACACACACAGAGATAGGCCGGGACAAGTGGTTCTTTGTGGGAGAGGTGGGGTGGGGGTGGAGGTGACAAAAAAATCACCGCTTGCCCCAGGGGCAGCTTCCCCCATAATTTTTATGCCATGACATCTCCTTTGTTCCAATACGATTTCTCTCTCTGGTACTGCCTGGAGGATGACGCCATTGCCACCGCTATCCATGAGATGCTGGTTGCCTGTGGTTTCCATGGCTACGTCGAACATCAGGACCACGTGGCCGGGAAGTCGGTCTTGGCCTCAGTGAACGAGATCATCCAAAGCAGCCGACTTGCCATCGTCCTCTTGACCCCCCATTCGGTGACTGACCCTTGGTGCCAGCGCATTTTGGACTGGAACCTGGTCCATACCGTACACCAGAAGGGGGCAAAGGTCATCCCGGTTTATGTGGACGTCACTCCGGAACAAATGCCTCCCACTTTGAGACACCTGACCGGACTCAAATACAGAGAGAGATACTTTAAGAAGCGGCTGCTCGACAGCTTGAAGAAGACCAGGGCAACCTGCTGCCCCAGCACCACAGGCTAAAAAAAAAAAAAGCACTGTTGCTTTTTTGTGATGGACTTGAGAAGTAGACTTGGGGAGCGGGTGGTCGGGCGGGAGGGGAAACGACCAAGGCAGCTTGGTCATTCCATTCGGACCATCACCAGAAGTGTATCCGATTCATTTTGGTGTTTTGACATAGGCCCCCATTGTGTTGTGGGTGATAACCGTGAAAAAAAAAATGGAACCCCATAGTTGTTGTAGTAGCACCTAGAGCTGATCTGGGGGAAAGGCCTTTAAAAACAAACCATCAGCTGTTTGGGAAGAGAGGCAGGGAAGGGAAGGGGAGGGAGATAGTCTTCGTTGTTCGTCTGCTACTAAGGGGTGAGGGTCGGTATAGAAAGCCAAGCCAGGTTCTTTAAGACTGCTGGTTGTGATACTTGACTTAATTTAAAGGAGCTCTTATTAAAAAGCAGTTTTTGGATGACTTTTGAGCGTGTGAGCTGTCTTCGTCTCGGTCTCCCGTGGGCAAACCCTACTCTCTTTGAACTGGAGGGGCATGTGGATACGGATTCTTTTCAACCTGTGTGAAGGAATCTACAATAACATCAAGTCCAAAAACATTTAAAAAAAAAAACACTTTAAAATTCCAAGGTTGAGAAACACTATGCAGATAGTCCTCGACGTATGAGCACAACTGAGCCCAAGATTTCTGCTGCTGAATGAGATTTTTGTTAAAGTGAGCTTTGCCCCGTTTTATGACTTTTCTTGACATAGCTTAAGTCAGAGGTCTCCAGACTTGGCAACTTTTAAGACTTGTGGGCTTCAACTCCCAGAATTCTCCAGCCTGCTACGCCAGCTACAAGTCTTAAAGTTGCCAAGTTTAGGGATCTCTGCGTTAAGTGAATCAGTGCAATTGTTCAATCAGTCACACGGCGGTTAAATGACTCTGGCTTCCCCATTTGATTTAGCTTGTCAGAAGGTTGCAAAAGGGACCCCAGGACACTGCAATGAATCATCATAAATATGAGTCAGTTGTCAAGCTTCTGAATTTTGATCATGTGATCATAAGGATGCTGCAGTCATAAGTGTGAAAAACGATCGTGTCACTTTTTTTCAGTGCTGTAACTTTGAACGGTCACCAAATGAACTGTTGTAAGTCAAGGACTATCTGTATTAGATAGCAGTGTACAGGGTGTTTCACAGCTGTGTTTTTCGAGTCCACACAGCTTAAAGCTGCCAAGGTTGAGATACACTGATGCAGCATAAGCAAATCTATGTGGCCTCTATATTGTGGTTTCTCATTGGGTTCTCATCCAGGCAAATGGGATTTTAGTTTCCATTTTCCCAGCTAGGAGAGTCTCTGTCTTGCAAAATAGGCTTATTTGTGTACAGTGCTGCTGTCAAAACACACTGAACTATGCCAGTGGTAGCTAATCTTTTTGGGCTCCTGTTCCGAAAATTTCGAGCGCGCTCGCGTGCCAGCATCCAGAAGGCAATGCACATGCCCCCCCACACACCACCTACACATGCGCGCACTATCTCCCCACCCCCTTAACCTGCACTGCACACGTGCAGGCCTCCCAGCTGATTTTCAGGCCTTTTTCGGCCTCCCAGAGGCTCGAGGGAAGCTTCTGCAGCCTTTGGAGCCAAACAATGGTCCCGTTTCATCACTTCCGGTATTTCCAGAAATACAGGAAGTGATGAAACAGGCCTGTTTTTTGGCCTCCAAAGGATGCAGAGGCTTCCCTTGAGCCTCTAGGAGGCTGAAAAAGGCCAGAATATCAGCTGGGAGGCCCACACATGCGCAGTGAGGCAAGTTTGCCTGGGGCTCGCGTGCCTGTACAAATAGTTCATGGTGCCCCCTGTGGCACCCGTGCCATAGGTTCACCATCACAGATGTAGGTTGTGCATGTTTCTGGGAGAAGGAAAGGCAACTCAAGGCTGCTAAGAAAATAGAGAAATAAAATTACTCAGAAAAAGTTGCTGGCATTTTGGCACCACCAGCAAGCAGTGTGTTCTAGGTTTCTGTTCTAGGTAAAGTACTTGGGTAAGGAAAATAAACCTAAATACTTGGCCACAATAAAGTGTTAACTTAAGTGCTAACAATAAATAATTTAAAGTGTTAACTTCTATATGTAATTAAATAATTGTTTGGAATTAAATAATTAAAATGTGGTCACCTGACACAATGGCCTAATTCAACACTCTATAGCCTTGGCAACTTTTAAGACTGGTGGACTTCAACTCCCAGAATTCCATGGCTGGCTGAGGAATTCTGGGAGTTGAAGCCCACCAATCTTAAAAGTTGCCAAAGTTGGAGAGCCCTGATCTAATTTGTGCATTGTGCTAAGCAAAAACATGCACTTTGCAGTTTATAGACCATGGTTTTAGTTGAAATATTTGACCTCAGTTAATTCTGGTTTAATAAACGGGCCAGGGTGAAACAAACTAGCATATGAGTCCAGCTTCCATATTTGAGGTTAGAAGAACCTTATTGTTAGGGATTTATAAACATTAGCACACTATTGGTAATTTTTAATGTGTCCATAATTTTGGATACATGCTATTTTGAGCATGCTTATCTCTTATACAGATTATAAAATGCCACAATTTATTTTGGCTTGGTTTGTCATAGAATGGATTTTATCTTTTTCAAGCAAAGCTATAGCTTGAAAAACTATACTATTTAGGTTTATAGATTGCCCCATAGCGCACTCTGGGAGTTATACAATGTCAGCATATTGCCCTCAATAACCTGACTCCTCATTTTATTGACCTTGGAAAGGTGGAAAGTTGAGTCAACCTTGAGCCCCATCAGCATCGAACTCCAGACTGTGGGCAAAGTTTGCCTGCAATACTACAGTCTAACCATTGCAGCACCGGGACTATAGACCAAATCTTATCCCATCTATCCCATGAGATAATAGCTAGACTCTTCTGTTGTTTGGCAATGATCAATTTGGCCTCTAGAAGTAACAATCTAATGAGTTCTTTAATTTGCAATTTATTTTTTTTGGCCACCAAATATATGTGGCAAAGCTAACTTCGGAGAAAATTCAAGTTTTTGTTTGGTAACTAACACATGAGATTTCAATGAATACCTTTCCCCAAAAATCTGATATTTATTTCAGATCCACCAAGAGCCTTTAGCCTCGATGGCGGTGGGACTGCCTCTGAAGGCATCTGGTGGGACATTAGTGGGTTTACCAAGTCATCTTATTGCCCCCAACAATCTGGGTCTTTATTTTACCAACCTCGGAAGGACGGAAAGCTGAGTCAACCTTGTGTGGTGAGAATTGAACTGCTAACAACCAACACAGTTAGCTTGCAATACTGCATTCTAACCACTGGGCCACCACGGCTCTTATAGCTTAAATAGCATGTCACTTCATTATTCTAGCTTAGAAAGTTGTGAGCTTTTAAATGAAGTCAGAAAGTTTCTTGAGTTTGGCGGATCTTGTGAAATTTTGGACTTTTTTAAAAAAAATAAGTGTTTTTATCATAGTACTCCCACCAGGAAATCCTTGAACCACTATGAACTACCATTAATCCCAGAGTTGAGAATACTGGTCTGTAGGTTTGGGTTTAAAGCAGAAATGCAAATCTGTAGACCAGAATTGGCTTTAAGTACTATCTGGCCTCCAGAATCCTCTAAGCCAGGGGTCCCCAATCTGTGGGCTGCAGCTCACTACCAGGTTACGGTCTATTCACAACCAGGCTGCATGAGTAGTCAGCTGTTGCGTGTGCGCGTAACTGTATGCACAGCCCCACTCACCCAAGCATTAAGGGGGCTCATGGCCCCACTCGCATGAGTGTCACAGGCGTTTGTGGCACCATTCGTGCAAGCATTGCAGATACTTGTGGCACCCCTCGTGCAAGCCCTCATGGTCCCACTAATGTGAACTCAATAGCAGTGAAAGGGATTTTGGAGTCTTAGTGGACAGCCAGTTAAATATGGGCCAGCAGTGTGCTGCAGCAGCCAAAAAAGCTAATGCAATCCTAAATTGTATTAACAGAGGGATACAATCAAGATCAAGGGAGGTACTAATACCACTCTATAAAGCCTTAGTAAGACCACACCTAGAGTCCTGCATCCAGTTTTGTTCACCACATTACAAAAAAGATGTTGAGACTCTAGAAAAAGTACAGAGAAGAGCAACCAGGATGATGAGGGGACTGGAGACTAAAACATATGAAGAACGGTTGCAGGAACTGGGCCTGGCTAGTCTAGTGAAGAGAAGGACCAGGGGAGACTGGATAGCAGTGCTCCAATATTTGAGGGGCTGCCACAGAGAGGAGGGGGTCAAGCTATTTTCTAAAGCACCCAAAGGCCAGACAAGGAATAATGGATGGAAACTGATCAAGGGTCCCTTCCAACTCTGATTATCTGTTATCTGTGAGTAGTGAATGCACGCACACATGCACACACACATGCACCTGCCCCTCCCACAAAATTGCCTCTTTTCCCCTCTCCCACCCCAGTTCCGGGCTGTCAACTGGAAAGATTCTAAACTATAATTCCAATGTGACAACAGTAAGTTGGGCAGTGCATAAATTTAATAAATAAACATTAACTATACACAATATAAGAAGGATGCTGAGAAGCTGGAAAGAATACAGAGAAAAGCTGCGAGGATGATGTGGGGTTTTGAAAAAAGGATGAAAAGAGTTGGGTGTGTTTAACCCAAAGAAAACGAGGCAAAAGGAAGATGTGAATCTCTCAGTCCTTAAAGGGATGTCTCAGTATTGAAGGAGTTGTATTCTTTAAGAGTTAGTTCTCAACTTACGATGACCATTCATTTCACAATGGTTTGAAGTTACGACGGTGCTGGAAAAAATGACTTACGACTTGACCTTGCATCTGCAATTGGCATAGCTTCTCCACAGTTAGGCATTCAAAATTCAGGCGCTTGGCAACCGACATGCATTTATGAGGGTTGACCAGTGCCACCTAATCACCATTTGTGACCTTCCTAGGGGGCTTCTGATCAAGTCAACAAGGGGAGCTAGATTCACTTAATGACCACGTTCATAAAATTGCATGCAACTCACTCAAAGACCACATTGCTTGGCGATGGAAGTTCCAGTCCCAAACGCTGATTTCCAGCAAAGAATGCTCACAGATAAAACAGATATACAGGTACTCCTCGACTTACAACAATTCACTTAGTGACCGTTCAAAGTTACAGTGGCACTGAAAAAAGTGAGCTATGACCGTGTTTCATAATTACGATGTTTGAAGAATCCCCATGATCAAAATTCAGATGCTTGGAAACTTATTTATGTCTGTTGCTGTGTCCCAGGGTTGTGTGATCACATTTTGCAACCTTCTGATAAGCAAAGTCATTGGGGAAGGCAGATTCACTTGACGACCGGGTTATTATCAACTGCAGTGATTCATTGAACAACTGTGGCAAGAATGGTCGTAAAATGGGGCAAAACTCAGTTAACAAATGTCTCACTTAACAACAGAAATTTTGGGCTCAATTGTAGTCACAAGTCGAGGACTACCTGTATTTAACAACCACTGCATCCACTTAAAACTGCCACCAAAAAATGTCAAAAAATTGGGTCTGATTACATGATGTCTCCATTTACCATCACAACATATGACCGTAATTCTGGGACTCAATTACGGTCATAAGCTGAGGACTATCTTTAATTCAGAGACAACGAAAGAGAGAAATTTCAACCATTGTTGTGTGAGAGAGTATTAATGTCAGGGTTCCAGGTAATGCACCCAATAGAAAGGAGAACTCCAAGGCAGGCAAATTCCTCAAAGAACAGCTTTATTGGATACATCCAGGGATGGGTGCTGGGGAGTTTGCAGGGGTTCAGGAGAGCCCCTAGCTAAGATTCTGGGCAGTTCAGAGAACCCACCCAAATCCCACTCCTGGTTGACCCCCCTCCCTCCTTCCCAGGAGTCCCCACGCAGCTCATATTGGATAAGTGCAGGGCGCCTTTGGAGTCTCAGGAAGGGAGGAAAACGGGCCTCATGGAAGGCCGGAAATGGGCCCGTTTCCAGCTTCCAGAAAGCCTCTGGAACTCAGGGCGGCCATTTTCGCCCTCCTGGAGGCTCAGGGAAAGCCTCCGGAGCCCAAGGAAGGCAAAACACCCCCCCACCCTGCCATGGTGCAGGAGGCTGAGTAGGCCATACCCACCATGGCCCCGCCCACCCAGCAACTGGGCAGAGGACCCTTTGCTAAAATTTTTGAAAGCCACCCCTGGATACACCATATTGGCATGACTGGTGAAAGCCGACTCTGGAAGTTCCTGTGGCTTTCACCTAATTAAAAGTAAATGTTTTCCCTTTCCCAAGTCACCGGTCACGCTATCCAATCCAGGTGCTGGCCGGTTGCTGGGTTACTTCACTCCTCCTCTGGCCAGCCACCTGTGAGGATGTCCTTGGTTCCCACAGGAGAGTTTTATTGTTTTGGCTACAAAATCCCATCTAACTATTTCCCCACTCCTTCTGTTGAGTGGCAACCCTGAAGCCTCCAAGATGGCCTCAGCCAGGTTCAGCGTTGACATCTAACACTGTTTTTGTATAAGTCAGTATGCCCAGTCAGTGCTGTGTAGAAACCATAACAGTGACGTAATTCAGTAAATCATGAATGTCGTTATGCAAACACAGCCATTGCAAACAGTTGTGCAATGTTTCTAGAAATGAGAAAAGCACTACCTTGTGTTGTTTGGTAACTTATTACTTGTGGTAATTTTTCCTACTGCTGTTTCTATTACATTTGGTGATACTGTTGAACAATCGAATGCAAGCTGCTCAGAGTCTTACTGGATTTGAGACACGAGTGCCCAATAAATAAATAAAACAAATGAAGATGACAGTGACAAAATAAAGCACAGGAGGAACGATCTGTAAATTTAAAAATTGCACGTGTAAAAACGTCAAGCAGGTTTGGATTCAAATACACACAATCCCCCCAAAACGTAAAGAATATGAAAATGAAACCAGAAATGTTCCTTTTGGGCCTGGTGGACAAACAATTGGAAAAAAAATGCATGTAGCTTTGTTTTTATGTGTTATAACAACAGCAAGACTTTAATATGCTACCAGAGCCTGCAGTGGTTAAACTGCAGTACTGCAAGCAAATTCTGCCCACAGTCTGGAGTTTGATCTTGACGGGTTGACTCCAGCCTTCTGAGATAGGTCAAATGAGGAGCCAGATTGTTGGGGGTAGTATGCAAACAATGCTTACACTGTAAACTGTCCAGAGAATGATGTAAAGCACTACGGGGCAGCATAGAAGCCTATAATGACCCCATAATCCCATGTGGGGTGGAGTCTAGGCAACTGAATGGAACTGAATGTTTACTGGCCAGATGCCCTTTCTGTTGCCAATGCAAAGTTATATTAATAGCCTAAATGCTATATGCGTAATGATGGAAAGCTTCAACGTTACTTACAGTGAAGGAATGGATGTTGAAATTGATGGGGCTGGCTGAGATAGCAATAGCACTTAGACTTATATACCGATTCACAGTGCTTTACAGCCCTCCCTAAGTGTTTACAGAGTCAGCCTATTGCCCCAACAATCTGGGTCCCCATTTTACCCACCTCGGAAGGATGGAAGGCCGAGTCAACCTTGAGCCTGGTGGGATTCAATCTGCCAAATTGCAGTAGGAGTAGCTTGCACTCTAACCACTGCGCCACCGAGGGAATTTCACTGATGAAATTCACTGATGAAATCCACAGCTTTGATTTAAAGAACACAGGGAAAGCCCTTTTGGACTTTATTTGTAAAACATAAAAAAATACAATCATGATACATGGATTTAATAATTAGAAAAATAACCAGTAGAGAATAGAAAAAGAATGAAAGGCATCTTAGAGTGAGAGGTCAGTTTGAATTTATACAAGTAGTCCTTGACTTAGGACCATAATTGAGCCCAAAATTTCTGTTGCTAAGTGAGACAGTTGTTATAGGAGCTTTGCCCCATTTTTCAACCTCTCTTGTCCCCGCTGTTAAGTGAATCCCTGCGTTTGTTAAGTTAGTTACGTTAGTTACACAGTCATTAAGTAAATCTGGCTTCCCTGTTGCCTTTGCTTGTCAGAAACTTGCAAAAGATGACCCCATGTCCCTGGGACATTTCAACCGTCATAAATATGAATCAGCTGCCAAGCATCTAAGAGCCATGGTGCTGGTACAGTGGTTACAATACAGTACTTCAGGCTACTTCTGCTGACTGATGGATGCCAGCAGTTCAGCAGTTCAATTCTCACCGGCTCAAGGTTGAGTCAGCCTTCCATCCTTACAAAGTCAGTAAAATGAGGACCCCGATTATTGGTGGCAATATGCTGACTCTGTAAACCGCTTGGTGAGAGCTGTAAAGCACTATGAAGTGATATATAAGTCTAAGTGCTATTGCTATCTGAATTTTGATCACGTGACCATAGGATGCTGCAACTGTCATAAGTGTGAAAAATGATCATAAATCACTTTTTTCAGTGCCATTGTAACTTTGAACAGTCACTAAAGAAACTGTTGTAAGTTGAGGACTACCTGTACTTATATATCTGTAAGGACCATACTGTCCTCCATTCAGACGATAAGAATGAACTTTTGAAAACTGAAAGAAAGCAAATAACATTCAAAGCAGGGTCTGATATCCTTTAGAACCCCTCCCCTTAGTCGGATGTAGATTTCGCCAATACGCAGAAGCAAACATGTTATTTTCCCCTCGTCTCTGAGAACGTAGCTAAGAAGAGATTCCCAGAAAGTTTCTTTTGGAATTGGAATTTATATGGCCCCTTCTCCTCTTTTGCCACCTCTCCAAGTTTCCAGGCATCTGGGGCGCCATTTAAATCGTGTAAAAGGTCATATTCAGTACAAGAATTAGGATATTCAGGTTACATAAAAAAGAATTTCTTGTATTACCCCCCACTCTTTCTTCTTCCATTTAAGAATGGCAGATACATGGAACTGTTGTAAAAGAAAGTTGGAAGTTATTTCTTTGTATTTCTTTTTCCTTTCTTTCTTTTTTTTTGCTTTGACTTTTCCCTTTCTTTTCCCTTTTTTTCTCTTCATTTCGGGTAGCTTTAATTTTTGTAGTTTAAAAACTCTAATAAAGCTATACAAATTAATAATAATAAAAAGATCCAGAGAGTGATATCCACCAGAAGGTGTCACTCTTTCCAAGCTGTACAAAGGAAAGCTTAATATTTCTGTAAAACCGGGAATATTTTGCTGCAGTAGCTTCAAATACATAAACAGCTGGCATGCTAAAATCTTTCCAGGAGTGGTTACGAAATGTGTAGCTTTTAATCGGACTAAAAGGAGGAATTTAAGATACTTTGGAAGTTCTGTAATACTTTTATTCATATCTCAATATTGTGTCCACCCAGGGAGCCAGTGTTATCCAAAGACATTTTCCATGGTCATGTGGCCAACCTGGCTATATGCCAAAGGCTCACAGAACGCTGTTACCTTCCCATCAAAATGGTATTTATTAATCTACTTGCATTTGCATATTTTCAAACTGCTAGTAGAGAATTAAACGTAAAGCAAGTTCTCCCAAAGGTGTTTTTTCTCAAGAAGCAATTCCCTAGAATTATTCTGCAGTAAATATATTTGTATGTATGGCTAAGAGTTCTTTTCTTTGCATGGCACAACGATCTTTTTTAATGGTTTTAACGTAGCATTTCATTTTATTATGTATTTATTTTATTTGTTAAATAAAGTTTATTAAACAGAAGTTCTGGATGCTTCATTACTGGAGGTTTTTAAGAAGAGACTGGGCAGCCACTTGTCTCAAATTGTATAGGGTCTTCTGCTTGAGCAAGGGGTTGGACTAGAAGACCTCCAAGGTGCCCTCCAGCTCTATTTTGATTGACTGATTGAAATTTGCCATCTATCTCACCATAGGGCTACTCTAGGTGGTTTACAGCAATAAAAAGGAAGAAAATAAAAAGAATGTAAACAGAAGTAAAATAATAGAATAATAAGATAAACAATGTACAATGACACAATGAGAATACATTGATATGATAACAAAAAAGATGTATGGATGCAGGGGTGGGATTCTACCACTTCGTATTCGCTAGAACCGGTTGTTAACATTCTAAACAGTTCGGAGAACTGGTTGTTAGAAGAAATTACTGGCCTAATCCTGTAAGGAAGGCAGGAAGGAAACATTCTGGTGTTGCTTACAGAAACTGCCTCTCCGTTAACCCTTATTAAAATCTTGGCAGGACTAGACTTCCTGTCGCAGGAACTTCTCTGGAGTTTTTTTTCCCCCTCCTTTGCTGGTACTTTGCTTGTGTGCCATGACCATTCAAAGTTACAATGACACTGAAAAAAGTGACATGACCATTTTCACACTTAGGACTGTTGCAGCATCCCCACAGTCATGAGAGGCCAGGCGAGGAGATGCGTGCCTCGATGTGAGCGATATTGAGTTGGCCCTGCCCTGCCAATTACATGACCATCAAGCCACAGCCACCCAGTAATATGACCACAAACCACGCCCACCAAGTAAGCCATGCCCACAGAACTGGTTGTTAAAAAATTTGAATCCCACCCCTGAATGGATGGAGAACAAGGGGATGGGAGGTGGAGTCTGCCATCAGTCCACCAGCCATATTCTGCATTGGGACCCCAGGCCAACCAGCAGTGCCAGGCTCTTGCAGAAAGATAGGAAGGTGGTTGCAAATCTTACTTTACGTATAAGATGTTCCAAAGGGTGAATTTTCAATCTTTTGTGAAATATTCAGAAGATCAGTGTACAACAGAAAAAAAAGGAACCCCATTTATTACAATGATCCCTTAGGGATGTTTCTTATGGCCAAACAATGGGAAACCAAGGGGTTTTTTTTACATAAGAGTTGAAGCAATCTTAAGGATCTGATTTACTTGGTCAGTTCTGTGGGGAAGAGATGGAATGTTGAGAGGGAGGGAGAGTGTGTGTTTGTGTGTGTGAAAGAAAGAGAGAGAGAGAGAGAGAGAGAGAGAGAGAGAGAGAGAGAGAGAGAG